ATACACACAGACATACAGAACCACACGGACACTGACAGACTCACACATAGACATACCGACACACTGACAGACATAGAGACATTCTGGCACACATACACACAGACAGACATACTGAAACACACAGACACAGACAGACGTACACACATACAGACATTCTGACACTCACAGACAGCCATACTGAAACACACATACACACATACATACTGAACCACACAGGCACTGACAGACAGACATACTGGCACACATACACTGACAGACATACTGGCACATATACACACAGACAGACATACATACTGAAACACACATACACACAGACACTGACAGACATATTGACAAACACAGACATACAGGACCACAAGGACACTGACAGACTCACACATAGACATACTGACACACTGACAGACATTCTGGCACACGTACACACAGACAGACATACTGAAACAAACATACACACAGACACTGACAGACATACAGACATTTTGACACTCACAGACAGCCATACTGAAACACACATACATACTGAACCACACAGACGCTGACAGACTCACACACACAGACATACTGACACACTGACAGACATACTGGCACAAATACACTGACAGACATACTGGCACATATACACAGACAGACATACTAAAACACACATACACACAGACCTACAGATACACTGACAGACATACTGGCACATTAACAGACATACACTGACAGACAGACATACACACATACATACTCACACACACACACACACACAGACACTCATGCAAAATTTGATAACCACCCTCCAGTTTCTTACCTTTTCCTGGAGGGTGGCTTCCCTGGGGTCCATTGGGCTGGCTTAGGTGGCTGGGAGTTAAGCTCTCCCCCCTCCGGAACAGCTGGTCCGCCTTCCTCTCACGCGGCTCCTGTTTCTGTGGGAGGAAGTGACGCACGACTGTCACTTCCTCCCAGTGCTGCCGAAAATCAAGGGCCCGGTCGAGCTGTTAAAGCGCCACAGCGCCCGACCGGGCCCCTGCTGAAATAGGCCCACCAGGTGGCACTAAGTGCATGGGCCATCCGATGGGCCCCCATAGTTTGCAGGAAGAGGGCAAACGGAGCAGCTGTCTTGGGCCCCCCGAGCAGGGACAGGGCCCGGGGCAGCTGCCCCGTTTGCCCCGTGTTAAAGACGGCCCTGCCATTACTCTATCCTAATTCTCCTTGATCTTTCTGCTGCCTTTGACACTGTTGATCATAAACAGCTTCTTCGCATTCTCCGTAATTTTGGTCTACGGGATACTGCTCTCTCCTTGTGCTCCTCCTACCTCTCCCAGCGCTCTTTCAGTGTTTCTTTCTCTGACTCTGCCTCTTCCCCCCAAAGAGTCTCTGTCGGCGTCCCCCAAGGTTCTGTCTTTGGTCCCCTACTGTTCTCTATTTACACTGCCTCCCTTAGTAAACTCATCAGCTCCTTTGGCTTCCGTTATCATTTCTATGCGGATGACACGCAAGTCTACCTGTCCTCTCCTGATCTCTCTCAGCCCATCTTGACTCATGTCTCTGACTGCCTTTCTTCGATTTCCAACTGGATGGCAGCTCAACCTCAACCTGTCCAAAACAGAACTTCTGGTCTTTCCTCCGTCAAGTGTTACTACTCTCGTGTCTGTCTCCCTCCAAGTCAACGGCACTACCATCACCTCTACCTTGCAGGCTCACTGCCTGGGTATTCTTTTTGACTCCAACCTCTCTTTCACCCTTCATGTCCAATCAATCGCCAAATCCTGCTGCTTCCATCTCAAAATCATAGCGCGCATCCGCCCCTATTTAGCCCCAGATGCGGCTAGGCTAAGGTGCTGTTCCATGCTCTTGTTCTCTCATGCCTTGACTACTGCAATACCCTTCTCAGTGGTCTTACGTGTTCCCAGATTGCACTGCTGCAATCTATAATGAATGCGGCGGCGCGGCTCATTTTCCCCTCCGCTCGCACCTCCCATGCCTCCCCACTCTGTCAGTCCCTGCATTGGCTTCCAGTTAGATATAGGGCTCAATTTAAAATTCTGGTGCTTGCTTACAAGTCCCTACATAATGCTGGTTCAACCTACCTATCCTCCCTAATACACAAGTATGTCCCGTCGAGGCCCCTACACTCTGCCAAAGACCTACGTATATCCTCTGTCCGTACCCCCACCTCTAATGCTCGCCTCCCTTCCCTTCTCCATAAGACTTTCACCCAGTCTCCACTCATTCAAAAAAAACATTGAAAACTCACTTCTTCAAGAAAGCATATCAATTAAACTGTTAGCCGGTTTTTATCTGCCACCCCCATGACTCCTCTCCTGCAAATGTCAAAAATTACCTACTAAGCCCTCAGTGAATACTTTTCTAACAACCTACTTCATATCCCTACTTTTACCCTTTGTGTCATTATACCCCACTCCCTCTAGAATGTAAGCTCATTGAGCAGGGCCCTCCACCTCTCTGTTCCTGTGCGTCCAGATGTCTGGGGTTACAATTACATGACTGTTAGTCCATCCATTGTACAGTGCTACGGAATCTGATGGCACTATACAAATAATAAAATAATAATAATATATATATATATATATATTAATATAATTTCATTCTAAGTGTATCTTGATAACTATATATATATATAGTTATCTCAAAAATTTAGAATGAAATTGCATATATATATATATATATATATATATATAATTTTTAAAATGTTATTATTTAATTAATTTATTTAATGTATTATTTTAATTTTATTAAAAATAGCTATTTAATATATACAATTACTGTATATATATATATGTTATATATATATACATATATATGTAACTGCATAAGTGTCTTTTGATATTGATATATATATATATATATATATATATATATAAAACTATTATATAAAAATACACTTATTATTTGTTATATATATATATATATATATATATATATATATATATATAAATATATCTCCATTTGCTTTGTTTTGTTTTTTTAAATCTTTCCTGACCAGTAGGGGGACTGCTTGACAGCCCAGGCAGTCCCCATGCAGGCAGCTGCATAGACAGCTACGCCTGCCATGTGATTGCTCTGACATGGCCCCCGGTGGCCTAAATTGCAGAGGGGGGACTGCCTGGGCTGTCCCCCAGAAGCTGATCGTGGCAGAGGTAAGTACACCTCGGGGGCTTGGGCTCAAAGCCGTTAGGGCGTTCTATGCCGTGCCCATTATAACGGTGTGAAGGGGTTAAGTATGGATTCCTTGGTGTTTGCTGTATACAGCTTTGAAACACAACTCAGGAAGAGATGCAAAGCCAGTAAACCACTCATAGGCAGCTCTTTTGTTGTTAATGCAACTCATCAGCATGAGGTTGGTTACTGGCTTGCTATTGAGGCTTGGCGTTACTTGCGAAGCAAAAACTAAGAACGTAATGGTGAATTATGGTTGGACATAATTCCAAGTTTTGTTTACATTTTGTTTTGATCAGAACGTGTAGAACTGGCTCCGTCTTTAACCCCTTCAGACCGGAGGGCGTACTATTACGCCCTATTATAGGCGGCTCTAAACGCCGCCGGGCGTAATTGTACGCCCTCCGGTCCTTCGGTACTTACCCGGTCGCCGGCGGTCCCACGCCGGCGATCGCGGTGGGGGGGGACTCCCAGGGAGCCCCCCGCGGCACTTCCGTCCTCCACGAAGCCCCCCGGCCATGTGAGAGTGGGGTCCTTGCGAGGACCCCAAAATCACATGGCCGGGGATAGCTGGCTTCTGTATTGCCAGCCAGGGCAGGACTGGGGATTCCAAAGCAGCCCTGGAAAAAAAAAATCTATGCCAGCCCCATAAGTCATTGCGCCTTATATTGTCGCATGTTATATGTAAGTCTATGTCTTGCCAACCTAGATGATTGATATATATATATATATATTGCTTTTTCCAATGTAAAATATTGGTCCTTTCAGAGTAAAATTTTTAATTATACAGTAAGCATATTCACATGCAGACACAGACAATCTCACTGACACAAGCTGATTGATACACAGCCTCATAGACAAACAATCTCACTGATATACATAAGGTCATTGACATAAAAACACAAGCTCACTCAGTAGCAGGCACACACACACACACAAGCAAGCCCACTCACTAGCATGTGCGCACACACACACAGCTTAATGTAGTGGCTCTGGTGTCTATAGCCTGTCCCTGCAGGTTTTTCAATGTAAACACTGACTTTTTAGAGAAAAGGCAGTGTTTACATTGCTTCCTAGTGACAGACACTCAGACGGTCACTAGAGGTGCTTCCTGTGTCAGTGCGGATTGGCTGAGATCATCAAGCTTGATAATCTCAGCCGTAGAGGCAGGGCCAGTCAAGGGGAGACCAGCACGACGTGGGGGAAAAAAAAAAGGTGAGTAAAAACACACATACACACACACATACCATGACAGACACACACCATGACACAGACAGACTGTTACACAGACACACCATGACAGACACACACACACACCATAACACAGAGACACACACATACCATGGAAGACACACACACACCATGACAGACACATACCTTAAAAAAGACACACACACCTTGACACACACTCACACCATAACACAGACAGACCGTGACACAGACACACACACACCGTGACACAGACACACATTACATGACACACACAGACACACACACACCACGACACAGAGAGACCGTGACACAGACACACACACACCGTGACACAGACAGACACACATTACATGACACAGACAGACACACACACCATGACACAGACAGACCATGACACAGACACATATTACATGACAGACGCACACACCATGACAGACAGACACACACACACCATGACACAGACGCACACACCATGACACAGACAGACACACACACACACACAATGACACAGACAGACACACACAATGACACAGACACACACACAAATGACACAGACACACTTATATACACTCACAGTGACATAATTTCTACCTGTGTGCTGGCATGGGGAGCTCTTTCGGCAGCCGCAGGGTTTGCTGGCTGTTCTGGCCGCAGAGGGAGCTCCTTTGGCGGCCGCAGAGGGAGCTGGCTGTTCTGTCTCTGCTCCCCCTCCCCAGCACGCTACAAAGAGACCGGGGCCGGAATATGATGTCATATTCCGGCCCCGGTTTCATTAAGCGGCGCGCAGGGGAGGGGGAGCAGAGACAGAACAGCCAGCTCCCTCTGCGGCCGCCAAAGGAGCTCCCTCTGAGGCCAGCACAGCCAGCAAACCCTGCGGCCGCCGAAAGAGCTCCCTCTGCGGCCGCAGGTGAGCCGGCTGCCTGCCCGGCCCCAGGTGCTGACGGCCCACCGGGAAATTTCCCGGTATCCCGGTGGGCCAGTCCGGCCCTGTTGCCAGCAGGGGGGCTGCCTGTAATGACAGGTGGTCCCCCTGCTGGCTGAAAATAAAATTAAAACAAATAAATGGTGTAAAAAAAAAAAATAATATATACTTAGATCATATATATATATTATATATATATATGATCTAAGTATATATATACACATATACATACACACATGTACACCGTCTAGGTGTATTTTACTATTAATATATATATATATATATAATTATATATATATATTAATATCAAATTACACGTAGACTGATACTGATTAAATATATATATAATTATTGTTATATGTATATTTATATATAATATAAAAAAATTAAAATGTAAATACATAAAAAAATAAAATAAAAAAATAAATAATTAAAAAATATATAGATGTGTGTTATTTCGTTCTAACTGTATTGTGAAATTAATATATATATATATATATATATATATATATCAAAATACACATAGAACAAAATAATATATATATCTAAATACATAAATATATACATATATATCACTATATATATAACTATATATAAATAAAAATATTTTTAAAAAATTATATAGATATATACATATTTATACACATACGTATATATATATACATATATTAATTCTACATATATATTTATGTAATATTTTTACATAATTAGGTATCTTAATTAATTACAATTAGCAGGACCTGCCTGACAACCCATGCCGAAAATAAAGGGAATTTAGTTTGCTAGCACTATATTTAACCCTATAACTTTCCGAGACACCATAAAACCTGTACATGGGGGGTACTGTTCTACTCGGGAGACTTCGCTGAACACAAATATTAGTGTTTCAAAACAGTAAAATGTATAACAACGATGATATCGCCAGTAAAAGTGAAGTTTTTTGCATTTTTCACGCACAAACAGCATTACACGGACAATATTATTGCTGTGATACTTTTTACTGTTTTGAAACACAAATATTTGTGTTCAGCGAAGTCTCCCGAGTACAACAGTACCCCTCATGTACAGGTTTTATGGTGTTTTCAAAAGTTACAGCGTCAAATATAAGGCTTGCGTTTCATTTTTTTCACATTAAATTTCGCCAGATTGGTTACATTGCCTTTGAGACCCTATGGTAGCCCAAGAATGAAAATTACCCCTATGATGGCATACCATTTGCAATAGTAGACAACCCAAGGTACTGCAAACGGGGTATGTCCAGTCTTTTTTAGTAGCCACTTAGTCACAAACACTGGCCAAAATTGGCATTTTTTGCATTTTCACACACAAACAAATACTAACGCTAACTTTGGCCAGTGTTTGTGACCAAATGGCTACTAAAAAAGACTGGACATACCCCATTTGCAATACCTTGGGTTGTCTACTATTGCAAATGGTATGCCATTATGGGTGTAAATTTCATTCCCGAGCTACTATACAGTCTCAAAGGCAACGTAACCAATCTGGCGAATTTCAATTTCAAATGTAACGTACTATATTTGACCCTGTAACTTCCCAAAACGCCATAAAACCTGTACATAGGGGGTACTGTCTTACACGTGAGACTTTACTGAATACAAATATATTTATTTTATTGCAGTAAAAGCAAACAGTATTATGACACTGACCGTTAAAATGTCATGTAGAACTAAACAAATAAAAAAAAATCGTATTTTCTCCCATTTTTTTCATATTAAATTGTTTCATAGCTAAATATTTGATATTAAATGAAAGCCTTGTTTCCCCTGAATAAAATGATATATAATAAGGTTGGGTGCATTTACTATGAAAGAGGTGAATTATGGTTGGACAGACATGTAGCGCAAATGCCAGGTTTTGTTTACATTTTGTTTTGTTCACAACGTGTACATTTGGCTCCGTCCTTAAGGGGTTAACGGGTTAAATTTGAAATTCACGTTGTACCCCTGAAAACTCTCACTTTGGTGAATAATCCAAATGGTCTATTTGAAACCAAACATTTCCCTGAATTCACATTCACTAGCTTAGTGACAAAACAGGCAGGAAAAGTATATATTTGAAAGTGTCTTGAGATTTTCACTGGTCATGAATTAGAGATAATTTAATTCAGCACTGGTACATGGTATCTATCAGATTCTTCAGTTTTGGAGGGAACAGATCATGATCAGTGTGTACACTATAATGTTGCAGCCACAATTTACTAACCTCTCCTGGTTTTAGATGGGTAGATATGGAGTTAAAGTTTTAGCAAAAAAGTATTCTAAGTAACACAGAGGTACAAAGCCGCAACCTTTGTCCCAGAGTCTAACACTACTGCCCTAAACAAACATGGCGGAGTGAACAATGGTTCGAGCAGTCACCTGACACACTCTGCCACGCCCCGCCGAGTGTCGTGAGGAGAGGTGACGTAAGAGAACGAATCCTCGCTTCATAACAAACTGTGCCGACCAGCTGATACCAGAAGGCAGCGCGAGTTCATCGAGTCCAGGGTGTTCGACGTGAGGAGGAATTTGGAGGACGACTACCGGCTAACTACTGTTAATATAAACGAAGGGATGTCGGACGAGGCAGAGCTGGCACACACCTCGGACAGAGGATTGATAAGGTGCCTTAGCGCGGCTGCTAGGTCTGTCCTGTATTTCCCATTGAGACAGCTCGGTAGAGCGTGAGTGCGCGCGCCCCCCCCCACTCACCACGGGTTAATAACGGTCACTTGGGCAGCGCGTGGAGGTCAGCTGCAACCGACCCCGTGACCTGCAGGCAGGAGAGCTCGCGCTCAGTGTGTGGGCACGTGGGGGACATAACATGAGAGAGTCCTCACTGTGTCTACAGAGTGACCAATGACTATTACTGGACTGCTGGCTAGCGCAGTGACCAATGACTATTACTGGACTGCTGGCTAGCGCAGTGACCAATGACTATTACTGGACTGCTGGCTAGCGCAGTGACCAATGACTATTACTGGACTGCTGGCTAGTGCAGTGACCAATGACTATTACTGGACTGCTGGCTAGCAAAGTGACCAATGACTATTACTGGACTGCTGGCTAGTGCAGTGACCAATGACTATTACCGGACTGCTGGCTAGCGCAGTGACCAATGACTATTACTGGACTGCTGGCTAGTGCAGTGACAAATGACTATTACTGGACTGCTGGCTAGTGCAGTGACCAATGACTATTACCGGACTGCTGGCTAGCGCAGTGACCAATGACTATTACCGGACTGCTGGCTAGCGCAGTGACAAATGACTATTACCGGACTGCTGGCTAGTGCAGTGACCAATGACTATTACCGGACTGCTGGCTAGCGCAGTGACCAATGACTATTACCGGACTGCTGGCTAGCGCAGTGACCAATGACTATTACCGGACTGCTGGCTAGCGCAGTGACCAATGACTATTACCGGACTGCTGGCTAGCGCAGTGACCAATGACTATTACCGGACTGCTGGCTAGCGCAGTGACCAATGACTATTACCGGACTGCTGGCTAGCGCAGTGACCAATGACTTACCGGACTGCTGGCTAGCGCAGTGACCAATGACTATTACCGGACTGCTGGCTAGCGCAGTGACCAATGACTATTACCGGACTGCTGGCTAGCGCAGTGACCAATGACTATTACCGGACTGCTGGCTAGCGGACCAATGACTATTACGACCAGCTGGCTATGCAGTGACCAATGACTATTACCGGACTGCTGGCTAGCGCAGTGACCAATGACTATTACCGGACTGCTGGCTAGCGCAGTGACCAATGACTATTACCGGACTGCTGGCTAGCGCAGTGACCAATGACTATTACCGGACTGCTGGCTAGCGCAGTGACCAATGACTTACCGGACTGCTGGCTAGCGCAGTGACCAATGACTATTACCGGACTGCTGGCTAGCGCAGTGACCAATGACTATTACCGGACTGCTGGCTAGCGCAGTGACCAATGACTATTACCGGACTGCTGGCTAGCGCAGTGACCAATGACTATTACCGGACTGCTGGCTAGCGCAGTGACCAATGACTATTACCGGACTGCTGGCTAGCGCAGTGACCAATGACTATTACTGGACTGCTGGTTAGTGCAGTGACCAATGACTATTACTGGACTGCTGGCTAGCGCAGTGACCAATGGCCACTAATCGCTAGTACTGGACTACTGGCTAGTAAATTGACCAATGACTATTACTGGGACTACTTATGGTCCTGGCACTGTGAACTACACATTTTATGATGGTGACTAAAAATGTTATATGGTGCTTTAAAAAAAACAAAAACAAAACATCCTGGCACTTAATTTTTTTTTTTTTTTTAAATAGTAATTTTGATTAGGTGCTCTTGTACCTTTTTTAAAGTCAAAAATTTGTAAATTGTTAATTGCTGGCTATAAAGCACCAACATATTCAGCAGCTGTGTATAGTAGGTGGTGTAAGAAAAGTTAGTTGGGTTTAAAGACGCCAAAGGTGTTGAGGAAACTGCTAAGATAATGACCTTTTTAATTTTTTTAGTTATGAGGCTGCTATATAAGGACAGCCCTGACTTGGGTGGAGGATGATTGGGTATTGATGCATTTTTGTTGGTCTTGTATGAATCTTACAGGGTTCTTCTTAAACTGGGAATAGTCAGAAAATCACAATAGACTAGCATAGTTAATATGAAATTGTATATGTGGTGAAGCTTTTTCATTCTTTTTAAAATTTGCAACTCACTTGGGAATTCCTAAAATTCTAAGTCTAGTGAACAGTACTGCTTCCCCCACCCCCCTCCCCCGAAGATGTGGTAAAACTTCATTGCTGGTTTAGTTTCAGAATAATAATAAATTTTATGACATAGGAAACAATGGTATCTGGGTTCTCCATAACCAGTTTGTAAATGTGTAAAATGTCAAAAGAACAAGCGGTTTTTATCACTTGTGGTACTCAGGAACGGGTACCTTCTAATTATACCATGTCAATCAGAGTTTGTGTCACCAGAACACTATATTTAACAATTTTTACATAGCTACCATGTCCAGAATGTGTTTCATAGATTGACAACGTATACAGTAGTTGGTGATAATAGGTTGGTACTTCAATACATTGCAATGTAGTTACTGATGACACTTAGATGATACATCATTATAAACTAAAGAATGTTTGCAGCAAATTATTGAGCGTGCCAGAAATTTATTTTAAATATTGTATAAATCAACATTGTTTAAAAAGTGTGGCAGTATTTTCCAGTCTAGTATACCTAGCTTTCTATCGTTGGTAGTGGACGTGTGGAGTTGTGCCTGTCAAACTGTTCTAGAATGCACTATGGCGTTTTAAGTGGTTGGAATGTTCCTTTAAGGGAACACTAGTGTTAGGAATCCAAATCTGTATTCCTAACTCTATATTTGCCCCCATGCACTCCCCTATGGCAATGAAAGGGTTTTTAGCACACAAAAAAAACTTGAAACACCTATTCAATTCCAGCACCTTCCTCTGTGCTTGCTCAGTTTCCACTTCCTCATAACGAGTGGGACCTAAGTGACATGTGCATTAGGAAAGCATTGAGTCAGTGCTTTCTTCTAGGGATTTAGATTAGAAGACGCTGAATGTCTCATGCAGTCTGGGAAACAGGCACTAGAGGCAGTCTTGCCATGCAATGTAAACAATGCTGTTTCTTTAAAATTTTAATGTTTTCTGCTGCAGGGTTAAAGGGAAACTATATAGGATAGAAATACAAAACTGTATTCCTAGCCTGTAGTACCCCCCCCACACACTTTAAAAAATCTTGTCACTTACCTGAATCCAGCTCTGATGCCCCTTGGTGCTGGGTCAGGCTTCGCCTTTGCGCCTCCTCCCCAATATCGGGGGACCTAGTGCACCATTGCATTAGCAAACCACATGGGAAATCACTGAATCAAGGCTTTCCTAAGGAATTTTGACTGAAGTTAGATGTCCTCATGCATACCAAAAGTTATCAAACCACCCGGAAGTCCCTCCTAGGTAGGGGTAACCCTGCAACGTAAATATTGTAGTTTTCAATAACTGCAATAATTACCATTGCAGGTTTAAACTGACAGGGACGCTGCACCCAGACCACTTCCATGAAATTAAGTGGTCTGGATGACTATAGAGTCCGTTTAAAGTGTAACTTATGAATAATTCACAAGAGAATTGCATGTTTTCAGTCAAAATAGCCTAATAGTATTTTCCAGTTAGTATGTTTTTTTAAAAACAAACAGAATTTTCAGTCAGAATTTTGTAAGCAATGTTAGGGATTCTGCCATTAAACAGTGAATTGTGCTGTCTTGCCACAGACGTCCCTGCGTAATGCTCATTTTTAAGATACTATATCCTGCTTGTTGGTGATACGATATGCTGTTGCAGTGTCATATGGTGTTTAATATTTAAATGTTTAATTCAACTGGAAATGTCTGTGGTGTAAGGTGTTGTTTGCTTTGTCAGTATTTACATGTATAATCAGTCCTTCTAAATACTTTTTCTCTCTCAAAGCATGTTTTTGAGTTTACTAATTGGTACAGTAAGGTTTGCATAATTTAATACTGATGCTAAGAATAATTATCAAATGTATTTTGTCCTTTGCTATTATTTATTTTACGCTAAGATTTGGACTTTGCTCACTTTCCTATTTGGGTGTTTTTGTTTTCCACATTGATCATGCCCATGAAAAACCATTCATTTGGTATTTTCATTGTTAAAAATGGGCATAATATCATAAGACTTCTATTGATCCATGTTTAAAAGGACTGTCATCGACATGAATACCCAACACGTGGATGAACAGGTTCTGTAGGTGTCTGTACTGTACACAACGTACTCTTATGACTTTGCCTAAAGCAATGCATTCCATGTGAAGCATGCGTGTTCACAAAGGTATTCCTGTAGCAAATCTCATATCTAGGGTTAAATTAGACACGTGGTTACTTACATCTGAAAATCTGTGTAGTTACTAACCATTTTTGTGGGTGAAATTATTTGCAATTACGTACTCACATTTGTGACTGTAGCACTTTAAAACACTGCACCAGAATATTTGAAAAATTACACTTGGACATGGAACATTTTAATCATGACAACCTATTTCTCTTGTATGGGTTAACTGTTATGATCCAGAAAACTCCACTGTCTGCCACCCATCCTTCTGTTTCTTATAACTATAGAACATATTCTCCAACTATGCTTTAGTCACTGCTTGACTGTCTTAGATGGAATTTTGCAATTTGATTTTCAGTTCAATGTTCACTAAATAAACCTTATGAATGAGTCGGTCATCTAATAGAGAAGGTGCTTATGTCTTCAGATCTTTTTGGGCAGTAGTGTTCAGGTTTATGGAGGATCCATAGATCACATAGTTGCTGTGATTTGACAAAAGTTGACAGCAAAGTTCCGACAACTCAGTCAGCACGAGTATTTAAAGAGAGCCCAATAGTGCCAGGAAAACAGTAGTTAAAATCCCTTCAGTCACCTAGATAATTCCAGTGCCGATGTCCCTCAGTGCTGGGTCAGGCTGTGCCCATGCTCCTTCCCAGCAAACAGGTGAGACCTAATGCGCATGCGCGGCAATGTCCGAGCTCGTATTAGGATTTCCCCGTAGGAAAGCATTAATCAATGCTTTCCTATGGGAAAATCTGACGATGGAGATCCTCATGCAGAGCATGAGGACGTCCAGCGTCGGATAACATACCGAAGGTCCGTTTCAAACCAGGAAGCCCTCTAGTGGCTGTCTGGTAGACAGCCACTTGAGGTGGAGTTAACCCTGAGAGGTAATTATTGCAGTTACTCAGAAACTGCAATAATTACCACTGTAGGGTTAAGGGATATGGGATATTGCACTCAGGACCACTTCAGTGAGCTGAAGTGGTCTGGGTGCCTACAGTGTCCCTTTAATAAAGATATCATCTTTATTTGGTGCTCAGAAATGACAGAGCTTATTCAGAGGGTTAGTACTCATAATCACTACAGAAATATGCTTAGAACTGACTTTGGCCAGCCAGGAACTCTTATTTTCAGCTGGCTAATGTAGCCCCAATGACTCTTCTATACTTTGATAGCAGACTTTTAAACTTCACGTGGACAGCATTTCACTGTCAAAATGATAGCAGAGAACCTATAGTCTTGAAAACAACTATTTTCAATGACTATAGGTTCTCATTAAATACTACCTAATTTTTTATTTTATTTTTTTAAAGCATGTTTCCCCCTGGGTAATCCATGCAAAGTCTTAACCCTGGATCGCTTTCTGGCTACTTTGTATTACAGGAATGCTTGGGTAAATACACAAGGGATGTATTGTAAATAGTCACTGGTTTATGTAATTTGCATTAGTTATGTAAAAGAGCCTTCTCTAGTATGAGTTAAACTATCGCAAAGGTTACACTTTTTTTTTTTATTTTATTTTTTTTTATAAATCAAAAGGTGGGGACAGAGGGACACCATAGTGTTACGAATAAAGCTTTGTATTACTAACATTGTAGTGTTCCTTTTAATGTTTTTGTTGACTGCATCACTTTGCACTAGTGTTTTTTTTTTTTTTTTTGTTTTTTTTTTTTCCTCTGCTTCCTATTTATAAATACATCAGTATTGTCCTTAAAGTGTCTGTTGCTTTGTGATACTTTAAGCATTTCAATCAGATTTTTAGTGCATTGGAATTTCCTATGGATATAAAACATAGTAGATACCAGAAAGTGAAATAGCCACTTGACTGCTGTTTAAAACAATAGTGTGCTCTGATAGACCATGAAATAGAATCTGTGTACATAGTCCCACTTCTAAATACCGTCATAATTCAAAGTGCTACAAAAAAAACCCCAACACAAATCTAGTGACTGCCTTGGCCAATGTAGTTATAATTATATTTTATATTAATTTGAGACAAAATTGTAAATTTGGAGTTATCACAGTGAAAACCAGTTTAATATTTCTACGCCATGGCCTAGGACAGTGACAGTAAACAACATGTCTCGATTGTGCTACTTAACAGGACTTACTTCAGAGGAAATTGGTGACCATGACACCTAAAATATTTCTGCTACAATCAATGGCATAGTGCAGGGGTAGGCAACTTTTTAGCAGCACCGTGCCAATGTAGGATTGTGATGTCCTATTTTTTTTAAATTGAGTTGTGTATGCTGCCGTATTCTGCTTGTGTTATTTTTACTGTAATTGCTTTGTATCATTGTATTTGTGTGTATATGAGCTATTATATTGTATATGTTCAGGAGTAGTTTGTGGTATCGTGTGTGTGTGTGTGTGTGTGTGTGTGTGTGTGTGTGTATGTATATATATATATATATATATATATATGTGTGTGTGTGTGTGTGTGTGTGTGTGTGTGTGTATATATATATATATATATATATATATATATATGTGTGTGTGTGTGTGTGTGTGTGTGTGTGTGTGTGTATATATATATATATATATATATGTGTGTGTATGTATGTATGTGTATATATATATATATATATATATATATATATATATATATATATAGTGTGTATGTATGAAGGCTGTGTATGGGGCTGCTTGTGGAATTGTCTGTGTGGATGGATATGTCACATTGTGTGTTTGGTAGTGTGTATGTATGGGGCTGCTTGGGGTATTGCATGTGAGAGGCTGCATGTGGGCTTGTGTGCATGTATGTGGATTGTTAGTGGTGTTGCATTTGTGTGGATTGTGTGTGGGCTGTTTATATTATTTGTATGAGGGGAGGGTTATTGTGCATTTCTGTGTATATCTAGCAGTGTGGGTGGCTTCCCTGGGTTCCAGTGGGACCAGGCTGGCCAGGTACAGGTCAAGGACAGGAGGTGCAACAGCAGCTGCGGGCTGCTCTACTACAGTGTGGATTCCCATTCACAAGTGCTGGGAGGAAGTGCTGCATTGCATAAATTGACGATTATCCTCAACCATCTTTTCATATTAGTAGATATCTGAAGTTTCACTGGGACTCCTGATAGGCCAGTGCCTGTTTGGCTCTAGCAGCCTTGAGTGCAGTGCATGGCACTAGTGCCGTAGGTTGCCTACCCCTGGCATAGTGTATCGAAGGAGCAATGTGGTAGCACTGTCAGATGAGTGTATGTAAAACGACTCTTTTGACACTGCAATGTTTACGTTCATAAAGCAATATCTGGAAGAATTTTTTTTATTTTTTATTTTTTTTAAGTGCAGTGGTAATGTTGAATTCTGTCTTGAGAAGTTGTGTTGTTATTCTATGAATACCTTTTTTAAAAATGATCTACGTCCAGGAAAACATCACATTAGCAGGAGGCATTTTTATACCGTTTTCTGGAAATATTGACGGTTTCAGTTACGTTTTTAGCATTTTTTGGAATCCACAACTGCAGCTGGGTGGATGAACATTGGAACTTAAGATCATGGGATTTTGGCAATGCTTTAATTGAAAAAGGAGTATGATTAGCTTCAAAATCATATTTACTGTTGATCAGTGAACAGAATTGGGATTTGCAGCAAACCAGGCACACACTAACTCTTCAAATGATTACTACAACCCTTTTGCACTATTCTTTTATTTTCATTGTTAATGCCCTAATGGGCACTAGTAAATTTGTCCACCCCCCTTTTTTTTTTTTTAAATTTAAAGACCTTTTAAAACTTACCTTGGCCAAGGTTACCTTGAGTCTTTCCACACCATTGTTATCCTGCATCACTTCTTCTGTCTCTGAGGTCCTATTCGATGCTTCTCATAGAGAATCTTTTATTGGACCAATCTCACTGGCTTAGAGCAAGCAAATGTGAGTAGACACTGTAGGGGGGTTGTTAGGGGAGCTGTTCAGAAGTGGGGATGTAAATAAATTTAAAAAGAAAATGTTCACAGTATTGGAAGGGCGGGGACATACAAGCTTCCCCTTGCAGGAGTGCTCACAACTCTGCCTGCAAGGATAGAAGTTGAGAATGTCTGTTGCCATTGTGCAGTGCCTACAGGCAACATACAGGATTTTTGCACAGAATTATCATTGGGCAGCTAGGAAAAGAGTTCTGGGCTGCCTAAGTTATCTGTTCCAGAGCTGTAACTAGCCACTGGCACAAAAGTGCAGATGTATTTGCAAAATGAATTGCTGCATATACAGATTCCTTGCTCCATGACCACTTCTGAAAGCAGAAGTGGTCATGGAGTTTGGAGTAATCCTTAAGTCTAACTTTCGTCCTGTTTCACGATGTGTATAATATTGCTTTTTTCCTTCTATACTTGAAAAGTCTAAAGTGTTGATCACTTAGTTACTTACGATAGTCTTATTGCTATTTCATCAAACATCTGATCTAACGCTCATTATAACATAAATGATCTCTTTTGAGGTGGATTATTTGGTATTGCTGTAGATTTTTATTTTCTTTACTGGCACATTATCAAACTTACAAAAGTCCTAACTGCCGGAAATTTTGACAAGTTACAGTTGCGTAACTAGTGTTATTAGTGTGTGATGCATAGTATGCTTTCACTGAAACCTAGTGAGTTAGTCCTTGTGACTTAGTAGTTAAAAGTTCAATAACCATTGTAGGCAACCAGACCACTTCATCTCAGTGAGGTGGTTTGGGTTCATGTCCTACTAGTATTAACCCAGCAACATGAAACATTGCCATTCTGCTGGACTAGTGACTGAGCTTACTTGGAGCTTTCTTGAAGGCAAATCGTACAAAAACTGCAATTTTACTCACCGTAAATTTTATTTTTCCTTACTATGGTGGCAGTACAATAGGGATGTACTCTTCCCATGGGACAAGCATCTGAAATTAAAAAGGAACATAAACGTTCCTACACCAACCTGCCATGGACCCTCAGTACGTCCCAATAAAACATCAGAGACCTACTACTGCAAAAATAGAAAATGTATTAATAAAGGGAAGGAGTGATGTACTGCCACCATTTTAAGGAAAAATGAATTTACGGTGAGTAAAATTGCAGTTTTTCCTGACACATGGTGGTATAATAGGGATATATTGAGATCCCAGAGCTATTGGCAGGAATTAAGCAACCATTGCTTGTACCACCTTATGCTCGAAAGCCGAGTCAGAGGCAGAGAATACATCTAGTCTGTAATGCTTGACAAAGGTATTGAATGAAGACCATGTAGCGGCTCTGCAGACATCTTCAAGTAGAGCATGTATCTTTCGGCCCAGGAAGCAGCCATTGCTCTAGTAGAATGAGCTTTCAAAGAGGCAGGTAGAGCCATCTCGCTAAAGTAGATTTGGAGGTAACATGACCTGACAATGTTTTTTGAAAAATTGACAAAAAAGATGGTCAGTCTTCCTGTATGTAGAGGAGCAGTCTAAGTAGATCTTCAGAGATCTTCCAACATCCAACTTGTGCCAATTATCTAAACCTGAGACCGATGGATAACCAAAGGAATGCAGGGAAATAGGTTGGTTGATAGCCTTGGAAGAGATGACTTTAAATTCTTTATTTTTTGCTGTGCACAAGATAATACAGAGGTTCACGATGCCACAACAGCATAAGCAAACAGTGATAACAATGTAGAGCATTTATATGGCATGAGAAAGTGGCACAGTTTTTAAGTATATCAATACACAGGCTAGTCGTGCTTGTTTAAGTAGGAGTCACAGGAGTAAAGATAGACGCAGATATAGAACAAGTAACGATAAAGATCTCGCTTAGTATATGTTTGCACGGTACCAAGATTAACAAGCAAGGTTAAGATTATTAAGGCATATACATAGTTTGTTCAATCCGTTTAGTTGTATTAACTAAGTTAGTGAGCTCATTATAAACAGTGACTAACATACAAGCCTTTGCAGGCTAGTCTCGCTTATCTGTCAGGGTACTAATACTGAGTCTGCACTTGACAGCAGGCATCAGAAAAGGAAATGAAAGAAAAAAAAAAGAAAAAGAAAGTGAAGTCATAGATTGCAGTAGGTTAGGTGAGAAAGACAAATATGCAAGGCAGTATGGCATGGCTAGTGTTTGCATAAAAAAGGACTGAGGAAATCATGCCACAGTGATTAAAGAACCCTGGGACCCCAGACAGAGTCTCTCTTCTCTGTGGAAAGGTGAACAGGAGCCTGATTGTTGCTGTTCAGGAGTCAGGATGTAGGCAGCCCCAGTCTTCATGCAGAGAGCTGGCAGGTTACAATTCTTTGTTTCTCGGCTCCATCTGTGAATAATTCCCTGATGCTGTGGTGTGGCTTGTCAGGTATTATCAGCCGTTTGGGAGCTGGGTATGTGCAGGGTCTTCGTAGTGATCCACGGCTATCGTGCGTGTAGTTTGGCATCGTGGGATCACACCAGCTTGCAGCCTGATTACTGTTGGAGCCGCTTTGCCAGTTAGATGGTTTCAGCACTAGGTCCTCAGTGTCGATTGGTAGCACCCCAGGCCGGGTCTCAGGATAGGTAAGTTGCTCATACGATGTCTCCCTGAGTTGCCCGTAGTGAGTGCCAAGAGCCCTGAGGGGGGGGCCGCTCCACAGCGTGCCGGTCAGGCTCAGCCGCCATCTTAGGTGATAAGTGAGGTCTCCGATCAGGGTAGGGCCCCAGGGTAGGCCGGGATGACCCCCACCGGCCCAGAGGGGGGGAAGCAGGGCCATCACCCCATTGCGTTAGAGGACCCCCATGCTGCAACCAGGCAGGATAGCAGGGCGGCGGCCGTCCACCCTACTCACCACCTGGGTAGGCCTGACTAGGCTTCGGTCACGGAGCTCTGTTTTCTCCCCAAAAGGGGCCAAGAATCAGGTCACTAACTGATCTCCAGTGCTAGCACCTCATAGTGCAGTTGCCTGCCGTGTTTCAGCACCAGAAATTGCGTTTTGGGACCAAATTGCCAGGTAACAGCAGGAGCTAGAGTACCATGCGTCTACTCTGCTTGGCGGTCTGGCCCCGCCCCCGGAAGAGATGACTTTAGATAGAAACGAAGGTTTCGGACACGGAACAACTTTTTCTGAAATAACTTTTGTAAATTCAGCAGATTACGAAAAAGCCTGAATTTCACCTATCCTCTTAGCAGACGTTATGGCCACCAAAAAAAAGCTGTTTTTAGAGACAAGGTTTAAAGATGTGTCCTCCAAAGGTTTGAAAGGATGGGTACAAAGAGTCTTCAAAACCAAAGACAGATCCCAACAGGGAAAAAAAACTCTCTTCTTGGGGGCTTAATCAGCCTGACAGCCTTAAATCTCCTAATCAGAGGATTCAAAGCTTAAAAAATGGCTGAGAGCAGAAACTTTAAAGGACCACTATAGTGCCAGGAAAACATACTCGTTTTCCTGGCACTATAGTGCCCTGAGGGTGGCCCCACCCTCAGGGACCCCCTCCCGCCCGGCTCTGGAAGAGGGAAAGGGGTTTAAACTTACCTTTTTCCAGCGCTGGGTGGGGAGCTCTCCTCCTCCGATCCTCCTCCGTTCCTCCTCCTGGGCTGAATGCGCACGCGGTCACATGTGAAAATCACAGTGAGAAGCACGCAAGCGCCTCTAGTGGCTGTCAATGAGACAGCCACTAGAGGATTAGGTGGAAGGCTTAACCCATTCATTCTCTGAAACTGCTATGTTTATGAAAAAATGGGTTAAACCTAGCTGGACCTGGCACCCAGACCACTTCATTAAGCTGAAGTGGTCTGGGTGCCTAGAGTGGTCCTTTAATTTTGAGGGTAGATAAACGAAGACTGCAATTTTACTCACCGTAAATTCCTTTAAGGCTGACCTGTAGAAAATGCAAGATAGTATCAGAAGAAGGAGAATGTCGCAGGCAATGATGAGATATGCAACAATGAAGGAATTTCGTCCAAGGAATTTCGTCAAAATTTTCAAATAGATAGCAGAGGTAGATCTTCTGGTGGAATTCAGCAGAATCTCGAATCTCTCCTTCTTAATGCCCCTGCTATGCAATATTAGCCGTGCAGCAGCCAAGCTGTTGTCCTGAACATTTTCAATACCTTTAGTGGAATATCTTCGTTCTCCAGGATCTCCTTTGAAACCGGAAGTTTCAAGTACCTCAAAACTATCGTCATTAAAACTGAGAACCATTTCCAATTTGGCCAGTATGGGATTATGGCCAATACCTTTGCATGTTCTGATTTCACCTCTTTCAAGATCCTTGGAATTGGCCTCACGGGGGAAATATGTATGACAGGCTGAAGTCCCATTTGATTAATAGCCCATCCAGGACCAGAGGCATGTCTGCCTTGAAGAGTGAGGCAAATGTTTTCACCTTTGCATTTGACCTTCTTGCCATTAGATCGATGATAGGCAGTCCAAATATCTTCACCAGCTGAGAAAAAATTATCGGAGTTAGAGACCACTCGTTCTGGGACCATCTCGATCTGCTTAAAGGACCACTATAGTGCCAGGAAAACATACTCGTTTTCCTGGCACTATAGTGCCCTGAGGGTGCCCCCACCCTCAGGGACCCCCTCCCGCCCGGCTCTGGAAGGGGAAAGGGGTAAAAACTTACCTTTTTCCAGCGCTGGGCGGAGAGCTCTCCTCCTTCTCTCCTCCTCCATTCCTCCTCCTGGGCTGAATGCGCACGCGCGGCAAGAGCTGCGCGCGCATTCAGCCCGTCGCATAGGAAAGCATTTACAATGCTTTCCTATGGACGCTTGCGTGCTCTCACTGTAATTTTCACAGTGAGAAGCACGCAAGCGCCTCTAGTGGCTGTCAATGAGACAACCACTAGAGGATTAGGGGGAAGGCTTAACCCATTCATAATTATAGCAGTTTCTCTGAAACTGCTATAATTATGAAAAAATGGGTTAACCCTAGAAGGACCTGGCACCCAGACAACTTCATTAAGCTGAAGTGGTCTGGGTGCCTAGAGTGGTCCTTTAAGTCGTCTGCAATAACGTTGTCTGTTCCTCTTATATGAGTAGTGGAAATGTCTTCTAGATGACTTTGAGCCCAGGACATAATTTGCGTGCAAAGGGAGTGCAATTTTCTTATCCTTGTGCCCCCTTGTTTGTTCAGGTAAGACACCATAGTCTGGTTGTCTGACTCAGTTTTCACTGCTTTCCCCATTATGAGATCTCTGAACTGACGAAGAGCATATAAGACGGTTATCAACTCCTTGTAACTTGAGGATTCCCTTTTTTCTTCTTCTGACCATGTAACTTGTCTCAAGTGATACTGTAGGTGTGCACCCCAACCTGTATTCAAAGCATCTGTGGTGATTATGACCCATCGTTTTGGCTGAAATGATGAACCTTCTGACATGAAACTTTTTATTTTATTTTTTTGCCACCAGTCTAGTTTTCTTCTTACAGGATCTGAAATGTTAAATACAAGTCTTTTTTTCTTTCTTTGACCACTTTAGAAGAATTTCCCACTGCAAAGGCCTTGATTCTGCTCTGGCCCATTTTACTGCTGGAATAGTGGAAGTGAGGTGTCCCAACACCTGCATAGCTTTCCTCAGTGAGCATTTTGGCTCTCTCTGAAGTTCTTTTGTCCGCTTCTTTATTTTTCTTCTTTTTTCTGCTGGTAGGTGAATAGCAAGAGTGTCTGACTTGATCAAAAACCCTAGAAACTGAATTGACCTTGTGGGATGCAGATGAGATTTTCTTAGGTTTATCACCCAACCATGTTTTTCCAGGATGGGTGTGGGGGCCAGGGGTGAGGACAATAGGTTCCCCCCCTCCCCCCAACTTCATTTTCATTTAGGGCCCCCACCCACCGCTCAGGTGTGGGGGCCAGGGGGCAAGACGGGGGCTCACGGGTGAAGGCTGGGGGTGGGGAGGACAATAGGTGTCTCTCCCCCTCCCCCCCACTTTCATTTAGGGCCCTCACTCGACGCGGCATAACGAGTAGGTGCAGGGTTTACTAATACTAAGTCATCTTTACTTAGTATTAGTAAATTTGTCTGAAAAAAACAATTTCGGTCTTACAACCTTTTGCTAGATAGCTCCCTGATACCGTGAGAATTAGGGAGCTATCTACTAAGCGGCTGTAAGATGCAGCTGCAGCACGAATAGGATTGGAATTTCATTCATTAGAATGAAATTCCGATCCGAACAAAGTCCCGAGTTGCGTCCTAACATGAATGAACAAACTGTTCTCATTCTGTTAGGACGAAACTCTGTAGTTTTACCAGCGTTCTAAGTGACAGGACGTTCGGGAATATTGACAGGAAGCATTGCGAGATCACGGATCAAAGGTGAGAATTGTGGGAAAATGCCTCTGACTGCAGGAAACTGAGCACACTTTGCTCCTCCGCTGGTCAGAGATGGTCAGGCGTAGGAAACCTCCATAAGACAAAGTAGTCTTTGTCTTATGTTTTAAAGAGAACGAGAACAGATCCTGAGAGAAGAGGAATCGATTGGGGAAAAGCAAGTTCACCATGACAGTGCAGCTTTAAAAGAATAGTGGGACTCAATTTATAGGATATCTCTATATCTCCATATCAGGTTGGCTATGTGTAAATCACATTGATTTTTAACAAATGGTAGCCAATTTGTAGTACAGCTATGGTTGAAATATCTGTATTTCTGAGTAGCAAAACTTCCCAGACTTGGTTGTTTTAACTAACACAGTTTGGCATTTAGTAAACTGACCTCTGTGCTTGCATGAAGTTGAATCATATCAAGCAATAGTGACTGTCTATTTGATTTAAATGACAGTGGAACGTTTTAGCTAATTACTTTCAATCTTCTATTGGCCTTCATTTTTTTTTTTTAAGAGAATCGTTTAAAAGGTCTGCCAGTTGAACTTTGTTTGCTCTGGGATCTGTAATTCCCACTTCGAAAAAACTAAGTGCTTGTTTATCTTGTGGCACATAGGCTTTGTTTGTTATAAGCAAATAGCGAAGAGTTGATAATGCAGAGTTCTTGGTAAATTTATTCAGCCAAACGTTCTTTGAAAGAATCCCTGGGAATTAAACTTTGTACAAATTGCCCTCTGTTTTTCTGTGATCTATGTTGGATGGTGTAATCTATGAAATAAAAAACCAGATTTACAAAATGTAAGCCTAAATAGGTGAGCTTAGAAACAAGCTTTATCCTGGTGATATTTATCAACTTTGTTGATAGTTTGTTTGAGCCTAAATTTAGCAAATTAGTTTTTCACCACTATTGCCTGTTTAGTGAATGTACACTAGTGGTCTCGAATATTTTGAGGTGCTTGGCAGGTTTCATCTATATACTACTGGAATTATTCCCAGGGTTTTGTCATAATAAATACCTGAGACTCTGTCCACTATATTTTCATGTAGTAATTCACAAACTGAGGATACCGCACTTTCTTAAGAATCCAGGTGCTTATTAGGGCCAGGGTTGGCAAAACCTAGTTTAGTAGATAAAATAAATTCAGACCGGGCACGCAGGTTTATGGAAACAAAAATTGCAATGTTTTGACCTACACAGAGGCCTTTATCAAACACTATATTTTCTGGACATCAATTCAAGCTAAAGATAACACATGAAAACCTTTGCCTTGCACTATAGAATGTTCAAATGTCGCAGGAATTAAAACTGTTCTTGAATTAGTGACAGGTGCTCAGGGTAAAGTGGTGGGTCTGGTAGCTCTGTTCCCTGCGAAGCATGTGATAGATTTGGATACCATGTACCAGTGCTGAATTAAATTATCACTATTTAATTAAATGAGTGAAACTCAAAAAATCTTTCAAATATGAACTTTACCTGCCTGTTTTGTCAGTAAGCTAGTGAATGTGAAATTCAGGGAGATGCTTGAATTCAGAGCTGCATTGTAATAGACCAGCAGGATTGTTCACCAAAGTGAGAATTTTCAGGGATTCAAAGTGAATTTCAAATTTTGACTAAATTAACTGAACGAGGAAAATTCTCTAGGAATATTAGTTGGCTATGTTTCCAGTTCATCTACTTTGGCATTTAAAGGGACATTATAGTCACCAGAACAACTACAGCCGTATGTAGTTCTGAGTATAGTCCGTCCCTGCAGACTTTTTGCAGAGAAAAGGCAGTGTTTACATTTCTCCTTAGGGGCACCTCCAGTGGTAGTCTCTCAGGCGGCCACTAGAGGTGATTCCTGCTGAACTTCTCCCACAGAGATGCATTGATTCAACGCATTTCTATGAGGATATGCTGATTTACTAGCTGGGCATTTGGCTCTGCCCCCAGCCACACCTTCTTGGCAGAGATTTTTGGAATTGACTATCTCCGTCATACCAATGCTTTCCATTGCTTTGTCTGACATCTGTTTTGATCACAGCCATGCAGGCGGGTTGGGGCGCAGCCAGCGCCAGCAGATGGTAATTATTATTATTATTATTTATTTTTTTTTTAGGCGGGCAACAGGGGGCTCATGTGGTTTTCTAAACCTATAGGGTCAGGAATACATGTTTGTGTTTCTGACCCTAAAGTGTTCTTTGAAGTCTCTAAAGTGAGAATTGTAGGGAATTCAAGTGAATATGAATGTGTGTATTTTCAAACAAAACTAGCCATAACAAAACTAGAATACATATGTTGGTTGTTGACCATAAAGTGCATATATATATATATATATATATATATATATATATATATATATATATATATATATATATATATATATATATATATATATATATATATATATATTAGTTTGCCTACGATGGTTCTAAACATTTGCAATACAAATTCTGTTTACGGTGCAGGGTAAGGCACCATTGCACCCAGACCACTTCAGAAAGCAAAATGCAACATATGAAAATATTAATTTACTATAATAATAATTTGTGTACCTAAAATGATGACCTAAGAAAAGTTACTTGTGCAATATCCCAAATCCCTATGCATATTTAAATAACTGGAGGTTTTTTAGTATAATTCCAATGATCATTAAAGTGCAAGCTCTCCTGCCACGTCAAGTCAAATCTCTTAGGTGAGACCTACACTAACAATTCACCATGCTTCTTTCAGCTTCAGATAAAAATCTCTGATACAGAGAGGGGAATTTTCCTTAACCCCCTATGCACTTATTAGCCCTGAATAGGTAACAAATGGGTGCAGTTTAATAGAGAACACATGGTGACCTAGTAGCTTGTCATTTCCTCTATGATGTTCACTGGTATGGTTGAGCTATACAGGGATATTAACTTTTCCTTTTTCTTTCACCCCCGCATCTTGCAGGTCAGGATGGCTTTCAAGTTGGCTTCCAACTTGGTGCCCCACATCCATGTGTCAACTTGAAGAAGCTGAAGAGAAAATACTAAAGCGTAAGTTGCATTTTTGCAGGTAGGGTTGAATGGAGGAGCCAATTAGATGAACGTGCAAATACTACCAAGGTTTGTTTAGAATAGTCCTTTGCTCTAGCTGCCAGCAGAAAGCCAAGGAGGTGTTTAAAGGAACAAACAAGCACCATAATGGATACAGCCTGCTCTCCCTTTATTAGTAGTCAGGCTTTTTAAGAATGTTAACCAACTTACCTAAGGTTTACTGGTGCCTGTCACCACCTCCCCAGGAGCTAAAAGCTTCTGCAGGGAGTTTTCACTTAGCTCAGTGGCTCTGGTGGCAGGTGAGGCAGTAACAGGCACCCAGCAGACAACAGGTAAGTTGTCAAATTGTTCTTTAAATGGTTTGGCAACTTAGGCGTGGTGCCATGGCACTTCTAGTAGTGTAACCATTACAGCAGGCTGTAGTGATTATGGTGTGCTTGGAATGCTTTTAAGTGTCAGTGAAGCATATCTATAGAATGCCTCACCTCGCTTTAATTTAAAACACTTAACCCTGTCTGTTTACGCATGCTGTTATCTTCCAGAAGATGGTTTGATTAATTGTGAATAATGTACTGATGTTTCATGTATGTACCAATATAACTTCACATATAAAGTCTGGCTGTACACGCAATACAGGGAATTTTTTTCCTTTATAAAAAAATTAGGACATGCTTTTTCCTCTTAGTTGCACTTTGTTTCCTGGAGGTCCTTGGGAAATCATGGGACAATGCTGTAATGCTGCCCATAGCCTCTTGCACATTACATGAAGGTGTATCCAGTCCTGCTATATGGCTGAATAGAGAAACTATTTCCCTGATCATAAAGTCTAACTAATTCAGTTTTTGACTTTCTGGTCCCAACAAAAGTTAGTCAGTTAATCAGAAGAATGAATGTCTAGCAAAACAATTGTAGGGAGTATATGTATGTGTTTCTATATATCTTGTTAATGTTTATATGCTGTATATCTTATTTAGTGTAAATTTTAATCTCTGGCAACGTTTTCTGCTCTATTTTTGAATTCTATCTAAAGTAATGTAATATAAACAGTGGATCAAGCGCTAGATCAGTTCTGTAGATTTGTAGCAGTAACGATCCTGCCAAGGGTGTCTCTTCCTGACTAAAGAATTGATAATCGTTCACCGTAGGTTTGTGGTTGTGCTTCCAGTAGATGTTTGACAGACAAAAAGGAACAAACTAAAATTCAATGGTTGAGTGTCTCTCTGCATAGGGGCCCGAAAATACAGGGAGCTACTTACATTCAATAGAGCTTTACACCAGCTCAGAGATTCTGTGAATGGGCGGATTCCATGTGCAAATATTATTGTATGGTGTTTTTGTTTGTTTTTCTGCAAAGATTATTTCACCTCTATTACCCAAGAATATAATAAGTGGTAAAGAGGACTGTGATAGGCAAGGATACCAATTTATTTATATTGGCCAATGGAAGGGAATAGTTTTATACTGTATGTTTGTCTAGGCAACACCTTTCCACATGTGTTAGTCAGAGCAATAGGGGATGGTTTATACATTTTTGAAATTAGGATGATCCACTCATTGGATGTGATCTTCTTTTTGATATGTTTCCTTCGGAGTGGGTAGAAAATTGTGATTAATTTGTTGTGCAGGGTGTGACGGACCGCCTGGCACCCCGACTAGGTACCTCCGCCAGTCGATGCTTCCTAGCTGTCACTGAGTACTATAAGCACCTTAGCCGCCGCAGCTTGGCTGGGGTCTTGCCATCCCTTCCCACCCTGGACCAAACTCCTGGATCCAGCTCCTAGTGAGAAGGCTTCTCCTCCAAGAGAGTATAGCAGTGTAGCTCTTATAAGAGCTAGTGATTTATAGCAATCCAAAGAACAATCCCAGGAGCAGGGATTATAGCAGGTATAGCGGTTCCTTCAATCACGAGACGAGGCTCTGTGTTGAGGGTAAGCTGGAACTAGTTTATTGGTAGCCACAACTGGCCTTATATGCAAGTCCCCATGCAAGGGGCACTCCCCGCTGGACCTGAGCGTAAACCAAAGCAGAAAAAAATACTTACACTGGGTCTCAGATCCAGGACACTCCCGCACATAACTAGTTTAATCCCTCCTCTGTACCTGGGAGATAATTGAGTCAAGTACTGTATTAACTCTGTTATCTCCAGACACAAAAATACACGTTTTTATAAACCCCCAAAATACCTTCAAAACATACAAAACCCCCACAAAAGTTATATCCATGAATAGCCCCGATCTGGGTGAACAACATATTCAAAACTCACCCAGATTGGTTAAGGGGTTCAGGAATTTCCTGATTCTTATTTTTGACAGACCGCACGCATGGTCCTATCCCCAAAACGGTTCCATAGAATCGCAGCCAAGTGTTGCTGGAGACCGACCGGGAACTGCAAAGTTTTCATGCCAAAAATAATTCCAGCGTATTCGCTGTTAAGTCCCCCTGAAGTCTATTTGCGGTTTTGGTCAATGCGAACGGCCGCCAGGGAGCTAGCATTCGGTTCTATGGAAAGTGCTGAACCAGGGGAATAAAATATGGGTCTTTACGGTTGCTGACATGGCCCATAGTCTTTTGGCAGGAGGCTAGCAAGCAGGCCCCTCCAAAAGCCTGTGGCGAGGCTCTGTTTGTCACAGAGGGGATTTGTTTTTCCATTACTAAATAAATGTATTTTGCCAATTTGTTTCATTCATCAGGCTTTATGGCATTATATTTTTTTCCTTGTGCTAGTCACAAGACACGACCTAGAAAAAATAAAACTGCTTTGGCATGGGGTTGGGGCAGATGGTCATGCCAACTTTCATATCGGGAGAGAGGTTCAGAGCTTCATCGGGATTAGTCCTGATCCTTAAAGTAACACTGTAAGGTCAGGAACACAAACGTGTGTGTGTACCTGACCTTATCGTGTGAAAACTATAATTTAGGTGGCTTGCCCCGCCCCATTTTCTCCCTTAGTAAGGATTAAAGCTTACCTTTCTGCCGGCACTGACCTTTCCCCATATCCGCCTCTTTGACTGTCATCAGAATTGATGATGATAGCCAACCCAATGCTTTCGCATAGGGAAAGCATTGGATTGGCTTAGATTGTCAAGGAGGAAGGCGGGGCCAAACCCCAGCGTGGCCAGCCAGCATCTCTATAAGGAAAGTTCAGCATCTTCATGCAGAATGTGGAGACGCAGAACGGCAGTTCAGCACTGACCCAGAAAACTCCTTCAGTGGCCATCTGAGTAGCCACTAGAGGTCTCTTGGCTTTTAATGGTTTTTTTTTTTTTTATGAAAAGACAGTGTTGAAAAAGCCTGCTGGAACTGACTATACTCACCAGAACAACAACATTAAGCTGTAGTTGTTCTGGTGACTATAACATGGCTCGCCAAATCAACAATGGCATAGGTCAGCCTGATCCCTACCGCAGGGGACTTGCAAGCTTGAAGGACAGCATATAAAGACTGCCAGCTTGCTGTCTGCCCACTCCCATTCCACAGAGCCGGCCCTACAACCCGCCCATTTAAGCAGAGCTGGCTGCCCGCCCTTTCCCCTATGCGCCAGGAAGAAGTAATTACAGTTCCCTTCACGTCCTCCTGGCACATAGATCTGCATGGGGCTGAGGAGACAGGAGGAGGGGGAGTCTGAACAGCGGGAGCTGATCCCATCAGCCGCAGCCAGCCCCCACTAACCTATTGCCACTTACTCCTACCCAGTCCCACTGGACCCCAGGGAAGCCAACCCCCGTGAGCCCAAAAGGTAGGAAACAGGAGGGTGGCTTAAAATTTTTTCTTTGTGTGTATATATCTGTTATGCCGGTTTGTCTGTGCGTATCAAATACTTTGTGTCTGTCTGTGTGTTTCTGTCTGGGGGTGTGTGTGTTTTAGGTCACCAGCCTCCTCTGATCGCATGGGAATGGTGTTCTTACTCACATTTTTTTCAAACGCTATGCTGGTCTCGCTGCAGCTGGCAAGCCTCTATAGCTAAGATTATCAATTACCAATTAGCGACTCCATGCAGAGCGTGAAGACGCTGAATGTAGGTAGGAGACACTTTAGTGGCCGTTTGAATGACGGCCACTAGAGGTGTTACTAGGCAGCAATCTAAACTCTGCCTTTTCTCTGACCACAACATTAAGCTGTAGTAGTTCTGGGGAGTATAGTGTCCCTTTAAGAATTTTATTTTTTGTCTGGCTCTAAAGCTAATTTTGTCAAGGCCTGGACTATAATGTTCCTTTAACATTGTATCCATTACCAGGATTACTATTGTACTCTAGCTAAATATATCAATTGCATATTTCGTTTTATTTAATGGGTTTAATTGATAACCCCAAAATATTTAACTTTTTTGACTTTGTGTTTGATTTCCCTCTCCCCCCCTCCCCCCCACTCTGTACAGGTATTAAAAGTCCCTGCACTAAAGAACACATGGTTATATCTGATGGAAATAAGATATGGACCTTATCGTTTACTGAAACATTATCAGATAAAACTCCGCTTGTTTTGCTGCATGGGTTTGGTGGTGGGGTTGGACTGTGGGCTCTCAATTTTGAGGCACTTTGCAAGGACAGACCTGTATACGCATTTGACATTTTGGGATTTGGCCGTAGTAGTAGACCTCTTTTTGATGGAGATGCGAGAAAAGCAGAAGAACAATTTGTCCAGTCTATAGAAGAATGGAGGAATGCTTTAGATTTGGAACATATGATTTTACTTGGACATAATCTGGGTGCATTTTTGGCATCTGCCTACTCCTTGAAGTACCCTTCTCGGTAAGTAATGCTATCTGCTCTCTTGTTTATAAGCAATTATTGTTCTACAATTATTTGCATTTTACATTGTGCCTACTTATTCCACAGTGCTTTGCAATTATAACATGGGGATATAACCACAAATGAGACCAAACTATTATTGTGACTGTGTGTGTCTCTGCGTGGAGTCTGTCGGTGTGTGTGCGCCTGCGAGGATCAGTGTGTCTCTGCATGGACTAGTCAGTCAGTGAATGTAGCGTCTCCTAAAGTAGAAGCCAGATTAGGAAGCTTGGCTGACTTAGGACCACCCTCGTTGGCTGAGATCGCTCAGCTGACACCCTCAGACGATAAGCATGGTCCTACATGGCTCTGCTTAGTTCTGTAGAGCTAGCTGGATTATCTTATTGGAGGACACCACATGCATGATGTACAGCTATTTAGAATTGTTTAACTTCATGACATAATCCTAGGTCTTTCATGACACCACTAAAGTATTACCGTATTTTTCGCTCCGTAAGATGCACCTTGTTTTTAGAGGAGGAAAACAGAAAAAAATATCCTGAATCAAATGGTGTATTAAACTCCTTCTCATGTGGAAGGGACCCTGAGCGTTAAAAATGCCACCGGAAATCTTTCGTCCACTGAGATTTGTGCTCTGTGGAGTGTAATATAATGAAGCTGTCCGCTAAATGCAGGAGCTCTGCTCCGTGTAACTTTATATGCTTGGTTCTAAACCTTTTATCACAGGGATCCAATATATGCAAATATAAGGCATTAGGTCATTCACTCAGTCTTCAATTTTGACACAAAACATTCCAAATAAGAAACACACACACAAACACCTTACTGTTAATCAGACTGTTCTCTACGTGAAATGGTTTGAGCTCCACTGGGAGAACAAGCGATAATCATATAATGAGTGCAGGTGTCCGATTAAAAAACCATGGGGTCCCAACCTAGGACCCAAGCCCTGCATAGCCCTCTTCCCTGGCTGCGGGAGACTAGGGACCCTGTTGTGCTTGGCCAGTGTTTGGGAAATATCAAACAGCATGCAGGAAGCAACACTGACCTGTACCAGTCCAGTTCTTTGTCATAGTTCCTATCGAAGTGGTGGGGTTCAGCTTCCACTTCCCTGATGTCGGGTTGCACTCTCAGGAGCTCCTGACAGATCCGACACAGGAACCCCAGCAGCCTCCTCTCTGCTGCCTTCCCTCCTCCATGCCGCACGATCTCAGTATGCTTCCCGACTGGGATCTGCTTTTCGCTCCTGCACTTGGGCTTACAGATTCGGCTCCAGGGAACACACATTCACTCCATAAGATGCACAGACCTTTCCCCTTACTTTTGAGGAGGAAAAAAGTGTCTTATGGAGCGAAAAATACGATATATTGCAAAAAATATAATGCAAAATAATGTGTAAGCACCTTTCTTGCACCTTACATTCATAATGAAGTGAGGAATAGCAGAAAACACAATAGAAGAATTAAGTTCTGAAATGGTCACTCCACCTTTAAGATACATACTTGAGATGTATTGTCATATCCCTCTAGAACGTAAGCTCAATTGAGCAGGGCCCTCAACACCCTCTGTTCCTTTGCATCCAGCTAGTTGTGTTACAAATACTTGTTAGTCCACCTGTTGTGCAGCGCATTGGAATTTGTTGGCACTTTATAAATATTATTATACAGATACAGATACAAATAGAGCAGTGTAGGAATACAATTTTCATTTAGTCTTGTATCTGCCTCTGGGATCTTTTGCAGTGGGCAGTGAAAGACCTGGAGAACTTAAGATCACAATATGTCACGATATTGGACTATACAGTAATGAAGATTAAGTACCTAGACCAGGGGTAGGCAACCTACGACACTCGAGGTCTCTTTGCACGGCACTCAAGGCTGCTAGAGCCAAACAGGCTCTGGCCTATCAGGAGTCCCAGTAAACCTTCAAATATATGCTAATACAAAAAGATGGTGAAGGACAATCCTCAATTTAAGCATTGCAGCACATAGAGGAAATGATCTCAGATCACTTCCTCCAAGCACTTGTGAATGGGAATCCACAACGTAGTAGAGCAGCTTGCAGCTCCTGTCTTTGATCTGTACCAGGCCAGTCTGGTCCCCACTGGAACTCAGGGAAGCCAACCATACTGCTAGATATACACAGATATTGTCGATCAAACCAAGTGTTTATCTGAGTATCTGCTCCTTTCCAAATTGTTAAAATAAATGCGTGCACGCTCTGAAGTAAATTACACTGAGACAGGTTAATGAAAAACTTCGGAATGTTTACTCAGGGGGCGGCAAGCCCCTTATAAAGGCAAAAATACATCATATGCATAAATGTAGATAACAGAATACATCTTTAACTGGTTAGGTGTTAAATGTCTTATCTAATGCACATCCTACGAGGTGTGAAGTCACCATCATCCCGGGATTTTACTCTGGATGTAGGCACCATACCCCAAACAGCCCACACACACTACCAATCACACAATGTGACATATCCATCCACACACAATTCCACAAGCAGCCCTCATACACAGCCCGCATTCATATGTATCATACACAATACCATAAACTACTAATGAACATATACAATATAATAGCTTATATACGCACAAATACAACGATGCAAAGCAACTGCAGTAAAAATAACACAAGCAGATATGGCAGCATACACACCTCAATTTAAAAAAAAAAATAGGACATCACAATCCTATATCGGCACAGTGCTGCTAAAAGGTTGCCTACCCCTGACCTAGACCATGACATAACTGGCACCTGCTGTGGAGATGTTATTAGGGACGTTAGTTATGTTATCAGAAACCTGTTTAACATGTGATGCATTGTCAGGTAGTGTGGCGGTCGTAGTTGTATTTATAAAAAATAAATTAATAAAATATTTGTAAAAATGTATAGAAGAGAGTTGGGTTGTAGCTATTAAGGTGTCTAAATAGTTGTGTTCACTCTTTAGTGGTGGGAAGTAAATAATGAGCCATACATATATTTTAAACACCTACTAATTTGTCCCACACCTCATTACATACCCACCACTGCTAATTGTGCAATTCTTGGGCTGTGTCCCTCTTAATGTTTGAAGATGATTGTGGTGGGATAGAAAGAATGCAAAAGTAGTTTTTGCATGATGCTCTTGTATACATTCCTGTATCATGGATTCCTGGATTGTTTATTTGTACTTAATTTGTCTTTGCAGTACCTTTTTAATGACTTGGTCAGTGGTCAAAATATAGCCTTGTAATTTATATGCTGGGAATTCAGTGCAGAGATTAATTTATTATATTGTTTTTTCAATAAGGGTAAAAAGTCTAATTTTAGTGGAACCATGGGGATTTTCAGACCGATCAGACAATGTTGATGAGGAAAGACCAATTCCAATCTGGATCAGAGCAGTTGGAGCCATGCTGAGTCCATTTAACCCACTGGCAGGACTTCGCTTAGCAGGGCCGTTTGGTGAGTTACAAAGTTCGAGAGAGAGAGAGAGAGAGAGAGAGAGTGTGTGTGTGTGTGTGTGTGTGTGTATTCATGCGCTATATATATATTATTTATTTATTTTTATTATTTTTTTTATGTGATATCTAGATAGCAGACACTCAAAGACAAGAGTTGTGTTCCACTCTCCCCATTAAATGTTTATTTCAATGAAAAAGTAACTTCCTGCAATTTCCATGTTCTTTTCAAATCCCTAGTTTCTCTAGGAACTGGTAAATGGGTGGTAATTATAAGCTCCTGAGGGAACTTTCCTCATATCCCATAATTTCCTGAATGAAACTACTCGGCAAGATAACATAAGCATGGCTTATCGAATACTTGAGCCACACGAGCAACCCCCCCACCCCGCAGTGTTTAAGAGGTTAAAACCCTTTTAGTCATTTCCTGAATCCAGCACCGATGTTAATCTGTGCTGGGTCAGGCTCCGCCCATGCTCCTTTTCTGCATCGTCAACTGGCGGGAGAGACCTTATTCACATGCGTGGCAATGGGTACGCTCGCGCTAGGATTTCAACTTGAGGTGGAGTTAACACGGAAATGTAATTATTGCAGTTTCCCAGACTAGGTATTTAAATCTTAACATTGATTTTTTTTATTTACATAGTTAATATATTTACAAATGTGCAACTAAAAAAGAAAAATCTCTTGAGCTCTTGCTTTTTTTTTTTGTTTTAAATGCCATTCTTTGCAGTGTCTCTAGTGGGTCTTGCCTAGATAAAGAAGTGCCTCAACCAGCATTTAAATTCTTTTAAAGGAATACTTTAACATTAAAAATGCATTTGTTTTTTGGGGTGGCGGGGCCGGACCACCATGCTGACCGGTAGCATGCAAGATAGGCTCTGGAAAAATCTGGCCTCTTAGGCTACAAATGAAAGCATTTAATCCAAAACAAACCTGAGATACTCATGCGGCTGTGGCAGAGGTAGCAGACCCTGAGAACGAGAGTTTCGGGCCCCACTGGAGGGAGTACGAGGCTTTTGGGGCTGCGGCCTACCCAGGAGAGGTGCAGAGTGGACGGCTGCCACCATGCCTCCCTTTCCAATTGCCACACGCCGACCTCACGAGTCGCCTGCCGGTCCTGTTCCCCCCGGTCCCCACTGGGGAGAGCTTTCCTCCATATTGAGTAAGATGAATGGTCAGGTAGATATCCAACTGTTTCAGTTCACAAAATACCTCCAATCAACCAGAACAAAACCTTGTTCAAGGTTACATTTTCAAGATTTCACTTTCGTGTGTCAAATCTTCCAACCAAGATTGCAAGAATCACATAAGGGAATAACGTAAAATTATTTATCTGCCTTCAAGGTGATCTGTTAAGTTTTATGAAGAGACTTTGGCCTAATTAAATTGTTAATCTCTTATTGTTCCTACCAATTAGGCCTTTATCTTGGCACACTTAGTCATTATTTCACAACTTTAGTCTATTGACCTGTATAGTGTTAGAAACACAACCGGTTTAATCTGCTTTGTAGGTATTGTTTCAGGCAAATGTACTAATATTTCATACATGGATCTTTATATTGGATACAAACCCAAACGCTCTCTTTAACATTCTCAATCTAAAACTCAACTGTCCTACATTCTCAAGCATTATCCTTGTATAAGAGGAAAACCGATGGTTCAGTATGGTGTGAGTGACCCACCTTGTCAGCAGTAATAACCACTATGGAAATGTACTTCTATAATCATGGATTAAAAATAAGAGTCGTCCAGCTACATCTGCACTAGTATTCTTAGGTTGTGATCTCAAAGAAATAACCAGTAAAATAGTGCTTTGAATGTGCAAAGCTATTGCTAGCAGATATTGGCTTTTTAATACTTGATGGTCTCTGGTCATGTATAAATAATACAGAGCTTGAGATTATTGGTGGACCGAAAGAAAGGCTGAGGTGGTGACCACTTCGTATCACCCGATGCCTAGGATATGTGGTTCAAGATATTGGGCAGGCAAATTATTTTGAGCTACTGCAGGGGGACATGGAGTGAGTGTTCTGCTCCTCTGGTCACAGTATAGTACTCGCTAACAAGTCAATCTGGGAATCCCGGCAGCTGCACTCTGACCCTGTGAATGCCAAGACCTTGAGGGAGTGATTACTCTAGTGAGCACCTGCTAGAGGTGCGGTAAACCTGCTCCTCGAGAGAGAACCAATGCTCTAAATCTAATTCTATACTAGGGAACTGTAGATTTGGAAATGCAGGTTTGTATTCCCAACACTATAGTGTTTCTTCAAAACTTGTATTGCAGTACGGCGGTATCATTTTAAAAAAAAAAAAAAAAAAAAAATTTTTTTATTTTTTTTGGTCATTATTGCATACTTTAGAACATATGATAATCTAAATGTTTTAAAGGTTTTATATGCACTAGCAAATGATGAAGCTATTTGCTTTACAGTAATATTCTATTTACAGCAGTGGTCTGGAACGTAACCCACCATATTAGCAATGTTTGCCTGTACTAGACAATGATGGTAGTATACAGTAATACTGCAGCTTGTGATGAAGTATGAACCAGGACATTTATTATTTTTTATTTTTTTTACTATTTATTAGCTTTTTAAATATACAAAAATGAACAGGTACATATTATCAGAAATACAATATTTGACATCCAAATCAGCCTAACCGTCTCAGTACTATTATAAAGTCAAACATTGATATATCTGCTTTACGATCGATAATTTCAAAGACCTCAACAAACATTGAAAACAAAAAAGAATGATGGTCACTATTCAGAAATAGAGAATATAAATAATTCCCAATACACGCCATAGAGATATACCATAATTTTTAATTTGACGTTTATAAAGCGAGCTCTTATTGTTGAGAAAGGTGGGGGGAGGTGTCTTAAAAAGAAAAACGTAAGAGATACAGATAGGAAAAACACCCAGGGAATTCTCAGAGGAAAAATCATTTTCCCTTCTTTTTTTTTCCTTTTACCTAGACATAAGACCCAGAGTTGTACTTTATGTCTCTTTGATATAATTGTTCCATATATTCCATCCATATTTAGTTGAAAAGAGATTTGGGTTTTTAATATTCCCCACATTGGAGGCTCCCTCTGCTTCCAGAGCTTTACAATGCTTTTTTTGGCAGCACTAGGATATCACTTATATGCATTATCAGCTTGGAAGGGTTAACTGTGAATGATCTTGATCAGGTCATATACCATAATAGAATATATCCTAGCAGTAGGTGAATGAGTGGAGTATGTGTTGGAGTTGCTTTAGAGACTGTGGCTGTAACCGAGAAAGCTTAGAGGGTCAGCATGGAACAACGTTTGTTGGAGATTTGCACATCATAGCAAGCATACTACTAAAAAAAACCTAAATTGCAAATAATTCTTTGAACTTAGTTGTGTCGGCAGAAAAAGTTAGATAAATGGTGCGTTGTGTCAACTTGTTCTCCGGCAGTATCACGGAGATGCAATCTGGTTGTTAATTGTGAGTTTGATTTGTTGGTTATCAGAGTAACAATCCTTGGGCTTTGGTCCCTGTTCAGCAATGCTTTCTTCAACAAAGAAATGACATGGATCTCCCTCAGACATTTTCTGGTTTTCTCTTATAATTCTGTTGTATAATTGCATGTTCCATGCTAGATGTTTTAGAAGTGGAAGACTATAGTGACAGGAATACAAATATTTACTTCTAATGCTATAATGTACCCTGGACAAAAACTAGCTAGATATGAGTTAGACACTCAGACCTATACTAGCTATACGAGGGGACTGCTATACATTAAAATAAAGGGTACACACTTACCCTAAAATATGTAACTGGAACGATGAGCAGACACATAAAAGGAAACCAGAAAAACCAATATAGTGTAAATCTATTACAAAATAGGTTTCATATATAAAGCACACGTGTGTCAACTCATATTAAGTGCCTCTAGAGGCAGGCTCAAATTAAATCAACAGTAGTGTCGTAGGTGACACTGCACTCTTTCTTGTCCAAAGGTAATATCCTCGAGAAATGAGATAAAAGTGATAGAAAACTTTCTGGTGTAGTATGGTCTATTCATGTAAATAGACTTTAAATGCAAATATTTTTCTCACCCTTTTCTGAGCCACTGAAACCTGGCTCAGTATGTTGGCTTTGTGTGCCTATAGATGGGGCACTTTCCCTTTAGCAGCAGTGGATAAAGACATGTAGGACTTGGTAATATTTATTTACTTCCAATCAAATACAAAGAAAAAAGTATAAAAGTTAAACATACAGAAATATTAAGTGTAATTGTACAAGTTAAGGCTTGTAGTCAGAGACACGTTTCACCTGAAATTATAGGCTCTCTCAATCTGCATAAAATTTCCATCTGTTCTAGCTGGTTTTAAATACATCTTGAATCCTATTCATCTGTTTCGTCGGCGTTCCTCCAATTGGAAGCCGGGATGTAGACAAGTCAGTTCTTCCACCTGTTTCTTGTTTGTATGTAGTTGGGGAAATCGAAAGTGGCGTTCCGTCCAAGTCGCGTCACTTCAGCTTCCCTTTAAACCATTTTGTTAGTGGGCATTTGCCTTTTTTGCTTTGACCGGAAGTGACGCGACAGAGTATTATCGCGCGTCACTTCCTATCATACCAGCGTATTCATTATAGTTGTGGGAACTGACACCATCAGCATTCTGGCAATATTGTCACCCTTTACCATATAGTTTAGAGAAATATTCTCCCATCCTATACTAGTTTTGTTCTCCACAAGTGAGCATAATAAAATGTACAAGAGGAGAAGAAAATGTGTGAAGGCAAAAAGACATACATATACCAGTAGTATATATGCGGAACATACTATAGATACAAATTGACCATGTCTCTAACCTGCAACAGTTTTAGTACCATAACTTAGTTCCTAGAAAAGGGGGAAGAAGGGACCAGATTGGAATATATACCGTATATACTCGTGTATAAGTCGATCTCATGTATAAGTCGAGTGCAGTTTTGTGACCAACAATTGTGAAATATGCTATGCCTCGTGGATAAGTCGAGGGTAAAACTTGGGGCTATGAAATTCTGTGATTTTTATAATTATATACACACACACTCATACAAACACACACTCTGCATTATATATACACACACTCATACAAACACACATTCTGCATTATATACACACACACACTCATACAAACACACACTGCATTATATACACTCACTCTGTGTATATAATGCAGAGTGTGTATATAATGAAGAGTGCGTGTTTGTGTAGTGTGTGTGAACTGGGTGGGGGGAGGGCATTTTTATTTGAATTTTTTTAATTTTAATGTTTTTTTTTATTTTAATTTTTTTTTTGTCCCCCCCCCCTGCTTGTTAACCGGTCAGAGAGGGGGGCTATCTTAATCCCTGGTGGTCCAGTGGCATGGGCTGTGAAGTGGGGGGCCGTCAGGAAGCATTTACTTACCTTTCTTGCATCTCATGTTAGCTCCCTTCTCCTCCGTTCTGGTCAGCTCCACTGTAAGTCTCGCGATCTGGTTGCCGCGCGGATTGTTGCCACGGCTCTGGCGGCCACGGCTCTCTAAGTTGCCATAATACAGACAGTGACTTGAGTATAAGTCGAGTGGGGGTTTTTAAGCACAAAAAATGTGCTGAAAAACTAGACTTATACTTGAGTATATACTGTAGTTGATACTAAAATATATATATATATATATATATTTTTTTTTTTATACGTGTGTATATGTATAGATTTCATTATAACAAACTATACCTGTATATTAGTAGAGACATTTCAATACATGAACTTGATTTTATGTTCCCCCTTTATGTGCATATTTTTGATGATCAAATTTCATCCTCCATTTCAAGGGTAATGAGTAAATATTTAAAACTAAGTAAAATGGCATATTTCTAAGTCACTATTAAGACCAAATGATAGTGTACCCAAATTAAAAATCCATTTCATTTTGCATTAGCCCATTTTTCTAATTAGATCTTCTCCTCTCCAATTTGTCCTAACCAATTGAATACCTGTAAAAAAGTTTGGGGTCTTGATTATTGTTTTTCAAACCCATTCTTTTTGTTTCTTATATGTTCTTGTATCCACGTTTTGAAGAGTCCTTGAGGTCATCCCTATATATCCTACCTAATCCACAAGTACATACTATAAAATAAATAACTTTCTTTGAGTGGCAAGTTATCAGATCCTTGATAGTCTGTTTTTCTTGTTCATGTTGTGGGTTGCTAAAGTCTTTTGTAAATCTCTCTACTTCCTGTATTTTTGCAGGTCTCACACATACCACATCCATAAAAACTGCATGTTTCATTAAACATACTCTGTTTTTTCTTTACTGATTTAATATGATTGCGCACCAAATTATCTCTCACATTTGGTACCACTGTGTAGATAATTTTTGGTTATTCAGGGAGAATTGTTTAAAATGTAATCTTTTTTTTTTTTTTTAAAAAGGCCAATATTTATTTATAGTCTTTATAAAACTATGACTTTTACAGGTAAAATCACAAATAAAAGCTACTTGATTATCATTATTTTATGTTTTATACTGTTTCTCAGAAAAGACAGAGTTTACACTGCTAGAGGCTGCTGGGACTGCAGTGGTTCTGGTGCCTAGAATGTTCCTTTAAGGGTACCATAACGCACAACCATGCATCTACATGATATGATTGGTTTTTTTTGTGATACATTGTCCTTTCACCTAATTTGTGAGAGAAATATCTCTGTACCATCTGATTTTTCCAAGTGTTTAGTAGGCATGCAGTCATGATGTTTACAGAACACAATATCAGTATGGTATTTATAGAGCCACACTTATTACACAACTGATCCACTGCAAGCCCAATCTTCATGAATCAAAATATTACTTTGTGCATCAGTGTTTCAGGAACACATCAGCTCTCTTCATATGGATCTTTACAAAAGCCATCACCCAAATTTAAATGGCAGACATACATAACTGAATATATGGACACTTCAAGACAAACTTAATAACTGATCCTCATTACTTTTAAACTTATTGGTTGGTTATTAGAATTGCACAGATAGAGTGGAGGTGCTCTTGAATCAAAATATCATCTAACTTAACAGTTAGAGAAGATTTTGTGTTGTGGTGGATGATCCTTAAATGATGTTGACCTGTGGCCCAGTTGCTTCTCTAGAACACTGAGTACTACTCTGCAGAATTTAGTGTGTGCTGACATGCATTGCACAGAGCTAAGGTTTTCAGAGATATGCCATTGTCCCCTTACCCAGAAACTGCTTGTTTCAGTCTGAAGCAAGTTGATTTTTGTTGCTTACTGTAATCTCCCTCCACTTTTCAGTGAGAGAATCTCATTATTTGTAATTAATATGCTGAGTAGCAGACTAACTTTGAGCTGTTTTTACTTGTGATCATGTTGGAGGACCACAATGAGCATGTCACGCACCACTTTCTTTCCTTTTACGTTAAAGTCTCTTTAGATCTTATTAAATATTTTCTTCAGTTTGCAGTTAAAATGCAAAATAGTCAGTTTCCATAATGTGTATGTATAAGTTGCTTTCAATGTGGTGATTTTTTTTAAAATTTTTTTTTTTTTTTGTCCCTGTCATGCATACTTCTGCAGTACTGATTATATAAAAGAGAACGCAAACTTTTGTTAAACTTTTTATATTTTGACTTGTTACACATTAGGACTAAGCCTTGTTCAACGTCTGAGGCCTGATTTCAAGAAAAAGTTTTCCTCGCTGTTTGATGATGACACTGTAACTGAATATATTTACCACTGCAATGCACAGACACCAAGGTAAGCTTGTTCATAATACAAAAAATGGAAACTAATTTGTGATAGAGATTAAGCTAAATCTATTTCTCATTGCAGTGGTGAAACTGCTTTCAGGAATATGACTGTTTCACATGGCTGGCCACAAAGACCAATGCTGCATCGTATTGACAAACTGCACCCAGACATTCCAATCACTGTGATCTATGGTGCCCGATCTTGCATCGATGGGAGTTCTGGCAACAATCTCCCTTTACTGCGTCCAAATTCCTATGTGAACTCCATTGTAAGTCTTTTACATCGGTCATGGCTGCAAGGCAGATATCAATGTGCTATTTTCAGAGTGTGCTAGGGCACAGCGCATCAAGCATTATCATGTCCTTTCAGGAGATCACACATCAACTGATGATCAGACCACTATACATAGCAAAAACATTTTTATTTCTTTATTGCTCTGATCATGACTGAGGACATCACTGGTATTTTGCAACCCTTATGCCTGTATTGCCAGTTCAGAGTTCTAGTTTCCCTTACAAACTTTTAGCAGATTAATATTGAATTAATTTATAGAGTACATAAATCCATATTTAATCACGTTACTAGAACCCTGCCATTACCTGGGCTGGGCATTTAAAGTAAAATGCTTTAGCTGACTTTTTTTTTAGTTGGCTGCCTCTCCCATGATTCATATTCAGCATAGGTAGCATATAATATCAAAGGAGAAATGCAGAGTGCCAAAAGAAGGTTGAAGATGCCACTTATAATGTTGTACACGATTATGGAAGCATAACTTGGGAAGCTGTCCACTCCAGACCCTGGAAGTGCTGCAGAGATAAGAGTTCAGTGACTGATCCTTCATTTATCACCAGTTTGGCCATTTTCCACACTAATGTGCTTCCCATAGAAACTAATCTCACATGGACAGCAGTGTTAATTTTGTCAACTAACAATTTAATCAAATTTTAGTCGACTAAAACAATTAAGATGACTAAAACTAAATTGGCATTTTAGTGAAAATACTATGAATGAAACTAAATAGAAATTTGACACCAAAATTAACACGGCACAGAGGGGCTGGGGAAGGGGCAAAAGAGACAGAGGCTTTGGGGCGGGGCCTGACCTGCAAGCAGAGCATTCTCATGGTGGAGGAGCTCCCACCTCACAGGCTGCTTACGGGGAAATACTAGCTGATCTCATGCCTGAATTGATGCTGGGGGCACCCTGGTGAAGCACCTGATACCAGACTCTAGTGTTTCCCGCATGCGACAATCCAGGGTGGTAGGCTGTGACCTGCGGTAGACGGAGCAGGGGGGAGGTGGCCGCCCTTCTCGCTCCTGCACCGGAGGTACAGAACTGCCGACTACCCGCTCCCCCCCGCTCCTCCCCCTTAGGACCGGCAGGGGTGATCCCGGTCTAAACAGATCCTGCATGAAGTGGAGATCCAAACAACAATCCGTAACAAGCAAGCTCCCCCCACAGCTCCAATCCTACTCGACACCATGGAGAGTCTCAGAGCACCAAAAGGAGACTCCATGTACCTGCAGCTTCAAAGCAGGCTCCCACAGCGACGGGCAGATGAGACAGCAACTGGATCCCACGACGCTGCACCTTGCGGTGCCTTAGCAGGACCTTCAAACAACCCAAACACCCTTCAATGCACTGGGTATCGGATGATAGAGAACTCACAAACTGGGACACAGCGGTACAAGCCCAAAGCCTCTAATACAATAGACACTGTCCGTACCACGCTGAAACTCCCTGAACAGAGACTTTCCGACGACATAGAACTTCAATGTAAAATTCACTGTTTACTCTTGTTAATTGTTCAGCACTCACATAATATTCATCCCACACTTGCATAGCACCTCACAGCACGCACCAGCTATGATCCCAAATAGTCTGTCACCTATTAACACTACGATGACATACCTGCCTACCTGGCAATTTGCATGCTTAACTCTCATGTTTATTTCTTCCCCTCCTGTCATGTATGCATAAGCTGTGTTATCCACAGCGTAGTTTTAAGCATTGTTCAAGCCTAATCACAGTTTAACACTACTCTTACAAACTGAATGTACAAACTAACAATAATACAAAAATGTGCCTTGTAATCCAATGTCCCGCATGTTTAGCGAGGAAAACGCCTGAGGACTGCTCTCGGGGCACCTCATGCCTGCTTGTAACTCTTATGTGCACGACAAAAAATAAAGTATTTTTAAAAATTTTTTAAAAAAAGACAGAGGCTTTAACTAAACCCATTAGATTTTTGTCGTGTCGGTGAAAACTAAATTGAAATCTGCAGCCAAAATTAACACTACTGGACAGTCCATTCCAGGTCTCCAGTCAGAGAATCATTATGAACTGTAATGTGCACACACTACTGCAACTCTGACTTGCTGACAGATACCCTCCCACCTGTGACTTAAAATCTAACCGCATCCCTTTGGTAGTGTTGGTGAATGAATTTCATGACGTATACCTTAGAGAGGGTTCAGAGAAGGGCTACTAAACTGGTTCATGGATTGCGGGATAAAACTTACCAGGAAAGGTTAAAGGATCTTAACATGTATAGCTTGGAGGAAAGACGAGACAGGGGGGATATGATAGAACCATTTAAATATATAAAGGGAATCAACACATTAAAGGAGGAGGCTATATTTAAAAGAAGAAAAACTACCACAACAAGAGTACATAGTCTTAAATTAGAGGGACAAAGGTTTAAAAATAATATCAGGAAGTATTACTTTACTGAGAGGGTAGTGGATGTATGGAATAGCCTTCCAGCTGAAGTGGTAGAGGTTAACACAGTAAAGGAGTTTATGCATGCGTGGGATAGGCATAAGGCTATCCTAACTATAAGATAAGACTAGGGACTAATGAAAGTATTTAGAAAATTGGGCAGACTAGATGGGCTGAATGGTTCTTATCTGCCGTCACATTCTATGTTTCTATGAAGGCTGACTTGCTCACTTTGAACATCTAATGCATAATTACACAAACACATGCTTCAACTACAAATTGGGAATGCAATGCTTTTCCAAATTGACAGAAGTTAAAGGAATGGAAAATGCACTAAAGATTTTATTAAAATTACAGGAAATGTCAGTTTACTTGCTGAAGTTATGGGTGAGGAGTGTTTTTTTTTAATATAACCCCAGTTATTAAAAATGCATATTTTTTAATGAGAACTCAGCACTTCTATTAATAAATTATGGAACACCCCAGCTAGGGAGGTTTGCTACCTCCTTACATTAGTTCCCCTCTGCTAATGGATGTGGTAAGCATGCTATACTTGTGCTCACCTCCCACGCACATAGACCTCAGATCATCGTTTGCAGACCATCCAGTGTCTCCACAGATCAGACGCTCATGCGCACATGGGATGGTGTTCGCATGTGCACAAGCCAGCGTACGCACTAGTGCACAGATTTGGAGGCTTCTACTGAGAAGCCTTTGATGGGTTTATCCGTGTGAAGAGAATGTTGGTCTCTTCTGGAGGGAAAAAAAAATTACTTGCAAAGGCTGCAGTACATTAGAACTGCAACTTCTGCAAACTCTTTTAAGATCTATTCCCAATGAATGCATGTATGTATTCATGGGAGAATATCCGCTAAACAGTGATTTTAATAAAAAAAATCAGTCTGTAGTGGTCCTTTTTAAAGCAAATTATGTAAGTCTCTTAATGCACTCTTAGAATAACTTTCTTCATGTTTTTAAGAATTGTGATGTTCTCCTTGAATACATGTCTATTGTTATGTGAAGATCAATTAAGAGTTTTCTCGTTAATTTTAGGCAATTCTTGGAGCTGGTCATTATGTTTTTGCTGATCAGCCAGAAGACTTCAATCAAAAAGTATCAGAGATCTGTGATTCTGTGGATTGAGAGATTAAGACCGCTAACCCTCTTTCCTATGGGCACTCGTTCCAGCTTTTCAGAAGGATGCAAACAAAACAATGCAGATAGAGCACTTTAATTGCTATGTGCTTCCTGATTACTGGTGCTTTTCCCCCCTTTTTATAAAGACACTTGCACATTGAACCAGAATTGTGCCTTTTGTAGGAATTCAAATTAGTAGTGCTGTACAGCTTTTACAACAATTTTCAGAGTGTTTATATTTATAAGTTAAATTTCTAAGGAAATATATATATTTACAGAACAATTTCATACCTATTAACTGGAAAATAAGGTCCTGTGTTGACATATTCCAAGAACTTCTCTCCCTTCAAGGTGTAAGCTTTATACTCCATGCATGTTGTGACAATGTCACTACTGAGTAATTCTATGTACACTGTTATTTTATTTATCGTTTTAATGTTTTTATTGTGAAATAGGTGTCTGTGCCAATTGATGCATATAAGAAATATGCATGGGTGACTAGATATGTTAAGGTGGTTGGTTTCTTGTCTGTGAAATCACACCATAAACACAACGCTCTTGACATTTCACCTAGCCCCTAAAGAATGAAACACTCACACCGTCAAAATTTCAGTATGGATTATGTTGGTTGTTTGGTATACAGTTTTATTGAGAGTGCCACTAAAACCAGTATAAAGTATTTGGTGTGTCAGGTTTCTTTGTGTGTTTGGGCACCTTTTGTGCTAAGGTGTGTTTTGATAGGTGCCAATATCAATGAAAATCCTCATGGCTGAAATTCTGCTGCTGTTGAAATTGTTGTGTGTTCCCAAGGCTGCATTTGCACATTTTTCAGCCCATTGCTTTTTGGGAAGTGTGTTTTATATGGATGCATGGTTTTGTTCTCACTCGTTTTTCATTTTAATAAAGTTCATTTAGGCAACTGGAACAAGTCAGTATTTCATTGAAATAATTTTAATTCAAACTATAAAATTATTTTTTTCCTCTGAAAAAGTTGGAGTAGTAAAGGTGTGGATGTGTATGGCAGCTATGCTTGTTTTACTACAACCTGCACATTTGCAGCCTATCCTTCAAAGTGTGGCAGTTCTAAGTTAGTCATTCGGGAGTTAAGGAAGTCTGTAAATCAGTTATCATTCATTTTATACTGACTTTTTTACTACAAAACTGGCAGGGTTATTTACTAAACTGAATTTCAAATGTAAGCAGAGTAGCTTGAAGCAAAGCTGACTTAGAGATTTGTTTTTCCATTTTGGCTATTTTCACTGTAAAGTTTGAATTCTCAATTTAATGAATAACCCTGTGGGATATGTCTAGATCCGATATAAAGCCTGCAGGCTAACAGAAGGGTGACCGTTAAAGCTGTTGCACTAAAACTCTCTTGTCTACAGCCATTACTTGAAGTACAGCCCTGATGTAAAAAATAATATTTTTAACACAAAAATGTCCCCAGTGCGTGAAGTATCTTTCAGTTCCTTTGTTGCTCAATAAAAGTCTTTCAAAATATTGCCATAGAACTGAAGTAATTGAATAGATTCCTCAAAGTCCTCTCTAAAAACATAATGTCTATGGGAAATGGTCAAGCTCAGAGGTTGTGGATCTGTGCATTTATTTTTATTTTTTTTCACATGGATCAAAGCTTTTGATTTTCTGTTTGACATTGCCAAGACAGCTGGCATTAGTTAGTGGGCCTCTCTGGTATTTCTCATAATATTAAACCATTTCAGATTTCATCTAAAAGTACAGTATAGTTAACTTGTTGATTTACTTGTTACCAACCGGTGGAAACACTTCACCTCATAATGTTTAATATCTGCTGATATGACTTACTATAAACAAAATTATGTACACAAGATTTATGGTAACGCAATATTCGTTTTGCAAATAGTTTTTTATTTTTTTTTTTCTCTGTAAGTTCATAGCTGTAACCTAAATTAATGAGACTCTGATAGCATCATTGACAATCATACATGCCTCTTACATAAGATATGCAAGGAGATCGCACTTTGTGTCTCCCTCTAGTTTGTTTTTATTTTTTTCTTAGCAGTGAATTGATATCCTTCCACCTGCTGATATGATGTACGTGAAACGATCCTCCCTCAGACATCTCTTGCCTAGAGTGTGCAATACAACTCCTGTGTTTCTTGATTTGCTTGTACAGGGTGTCTTGACTTGTTCTGTGAGAGCTGCTACCATTATGAACTTCCAGCCAGTTTTAGCACTTTGTGGTTTTGAGACAAACGTTTACTAATAAGAGGTGAATTTTGTTATGTGTAGGTTTTTCTTATTTCAAACATGATCTCCTTTGTTGACAAAGTAATTGAGGGTTGGTCCACTCCATCCTATTGAGTACCTTTTTATTTTACGACCATTACTTTTTAAATATATATATTATATAAAATATATTTCCAGCACCCACATCACAACTGGAGTGTAGGGAAATGTATTACATACAGGTTATTGTAGATGTATGTACATGTTTTATTATATACAGTTCCAGTGACTGACTTAGAATTCTATGAACAAAATATATTGTGATTTATAACCAACTTGTTTTGAGAGATTTTTTTTGCTTGAACCTGCACAACTGGAATGTTGTAAGAGCATATCTAACATCTTTAAATTTAAGGTTTTTGTTTTACAAATGATGTTGTAATGCAATAAAAGATTTTACTAACACCATATACCTCTTGTCACTTTTTAATTATAGATGGTCCATAATGAGACCCAGAACAATGTATGATATTGTCTAGATACAGACTCCTAATGTTTTAGTCAAGTCCTTAAAGCTGCTCTGTCACTGTCTGGTGTCATGGCATAATTCACAAAAAACCTCCAACGGTGTCTTTGCTGCTGGGCAAGGTGAGTTATATTCATCAGAGCCATTCAGCCTCTTTATGGGTGTCCAAGAAGAAATAGGGTAGATGAGACAGGAACTTGAATAGCATGCACTGAAGTTCACAAATTTATATCTGTGAGAGAATAGGCTTATAACTCAATGCACTTTTGAGAATTTTAAAACCATGTCTGTGTGTGGGGAGACTGGGAAAGAGGACCTCCTTGCATCAAACTCTATGCAAAGAGCAGAACTTTTGAGCGTTCGGTTTAAGGGACCAAGTAACCAAAACGTTGAAATACATAATGCCTTGGACTGTTGATCCGTATTTGTGTATAAAACTTGTTTCCCGATTTACATTTTCTGCTTCTCTTAGCATATACAGCCAACAACTACATATATGTCTGAAACAATTCTGGACCACCGCAAAGAACCGCTCTTGCTATATTTTTCATACCCGCACTGAGACCTTTATTAACAGTTTTATTATTTTACAGCATCTATAGATGCTGTATATAGCTCCAACATCTCTTATTTATGAACTGGACAAGTGTATGTATATAACTGATATCTTCACGAGGATTCTTGCATTTTTATTCCACCTTCCACACAGAGAATTTTATAGTGTAATTAATGTTTTGTTGATTTTCTTTTACTTTAATCTGCCCTGTGTGCAGTTGGTGGTTGATGCAGTACATCTGTTCAGGAGGGTGTTAAATATCTCTGTCCGGGCCATGCATTAGTAACTGACCTTGTTAATGATGTGATCTTTGTAAGTGAAGCCAGTGAGGAATTTTGTTTTCCCTTTTTGAAACTAAATTAACATTTTTAAGTGGGTATATCTGAGAGGGTTGTTTTTCCTTCTGTCAGTAATTGTCTCCAATAATAGCTAGATGCTTTCCAGAATAGGCTGGCATTTATCTACTGCGAAAGGGATATTCTTAAACTCCAAAACAACTGTGCAATGAAGCGGTTTTGGTGTACATTTTATGCCCCAGTAGTGTCACTGCTCAATTCTCTGCTATTCAGGAGTTATATCACTTTGTTTATGAAGCCCTGGCTGGGACTCACACAGTCTCCAAAAACCTTTTTCAAACCAGTCTTACAACACTGTATTTTTAATTCATATGTTCTTATTTTAGTATTTATATAGTGCCATCAGATTCCGTAGCGCTGTACAATGGGATCTTATTGCATACTTTGTTAATTGAGCTCAAATCCCACACAATATTGCTGTAGGTTGTAAAACACAATTTATAGAGCAGGAGATAAGAAATCCTGAATTCAACATACTGTGCAATAAAATAAGTTTACAAATTAGGTCTCTCTTTACAGCAAGTGTGTACAGAGGCTGTGTAACTCACAGGCACGGGAGGTTTGGCTAGGGCAATATAAACATTGATTTAACTCAGAGAATCGAGTTGGGAGACTGCAGTGGCAGGATCTATAAGTTAGTTGTTTTGGTGCTTGGTGTCCCTTTAACAAAGATATGTGTTTTATGGCTGGACAAAAGCTGATATTCCTGGAGATCTTGGTTTTACTTTTGTGAATGCAGCTTTCCAAATAGCTCAATTTCAGCAGGACAGTCACGATTTTCAGGTTCTGTCCTGCCATCCCAATGGCAATGACACGAGGGAACGGACACCAAAAAGTGCAGCGCAAGTGGAACATTCTGGGTACTTGGATCTGCAGAGAGAATTGAAGCAGTGCTCTCTGCATGTCCTGTCATTGGGGGGGGGGACTAGCCTGCTTGATTGGTAGACACCCTGGTGTGTGATCACATCACTGGTCCCTACTCCCACCAGTGTCCCAGTTATCAAGATGTCAATGTTTGAGAAAGTGGGAATGTCCAAATAATGCTTGTATAAGAGCATAAAGCACACATACGATGACTACAGTTACCTAGCAAAACAGTAGCATGTGTTTTCGAAAGAATGGTGCGGGTACACAGAGCTCTCCATGATTGCGATTTTACTTGCACTATTCATGTGAGCCTATAAGTTTAAGTATAGAGTGGTAGAAGTAGAGCATCAGATTCCTGGCTGAGAAAAATGCCTCTGACTGGTGGAAACCAATGCTGGAACAGTGATAAAGCATCATTTTCTAGTCTTAAACTTTCATTGCTTTGCCATATTTGTGTAGGTCTGGGAAGGATGGGTTGTAGGAAAACTGTAACCTCAACACTACAGCGGAACCTCGGAACTCGAACTTAATCTGTTCCAGAAGGCTGTTCGAGTTCCGATTTGTTTGAGAACAGAGTCGACATTTCCCATACGAATTAATGTAAGTTTGATTAATCCGTTCCACCCCCCCCCCCAAAATTACAGTATTTTAACACAAATTTTACTGTTTAATAATGCTTTACATACATAAAATATAGAAATTAAATAATAACCACAATGTACAGTAAATTTAAATGAAAATGTCACTTCACTTTACCTGTAATGATGAGAGTTGATGGTGTAAGTGGAAAGGAGAAGAGCTATCATTGTTTGGATGGGAATTCGCCTTCCATAATTACAATTGGTAACTGTTCTGGCGTTCTTTCCCTTGATCGTTTCACACCACTGAAACCTGGTTGAGGCTCACTGGACCTTTTCTGCACTAAAAATTTGTCTATCAAGACTTGCTGTTGCCTAATGTGTCTAAAGTGAGACATAGTTTGAAATTACTTGCTGGTCCATGGGCTGGATAAGAGGAGTTGTATTGGGGGGGAGGGGCAAAAACTTCACAGTAATAAAACTGAACTCCTCCATCAATTTGTCCTCCAATCCTGTGCAGGAGCGTTATCCATAAGAAGCAGAGCCTTGACAGGTAAGTGGTTTCCTTTTTTTTTTTTCTTGTAGGTATTTTTTAACACTTGGTCCAAACATCTCATGAACCCACTCAAAAAATTGCCTGGTTACCCAAGCTTTGCTGTAAGCCCTCCACAATATGCTTTTCAGGACATGGTTTTTCTTAAATAACCTCGGGTTCTCGGAGTGGTAAATTAGCAAAGGCTTCAATTTAAAATCCCCACTCGCATTCCCACCGAACAACAGGATTAGCCTGTCCTTCATTGGCTTGTGTCCTGGCAATGATTTCTCCTTTATGTAGGTCCTCTTTGGCATTTTCTTCCAAAACAGGCCTGTCTCATCACAGTTAAACTTGTCGGGGAACGAATTCCTCAACAAATTTCTCAGCCCCGTCTTTGTTAGCACTGGAAGCTTCACAATGTCTCACCACACTGTGTATGCCACTTCTCCTTTGAAAATTTTCAAACCACTATACTTGCCTTGAAAACGTCGCTATCAGCACTCGTTTCAGGGATGTTTTTCCACAAGATCAGCATGCAAATGGCATTTTCACAAATTATTTCCTCTGAAATGCCATCACCGGCTAACTGTTATAGCAATAACAATTGTTCTACTTCTAGTGTATGGCTTCTTTGTTTTGTAATCCCTTTCATCCCTCTAGCAAAATTGGCTCCTTTGATTTCGTCTTTATTTTTTAATATGGTACAAATTGTAGATTTGGCTATACCAAACTGTGTTGCTAGATCAGAGACACAGACACTGCTTTCATGTTTTAAAATTATTTATTTCTTCAACTCTATTGTCGTTACAATTTTCCTTTTGAGTTGGATAATATCCTTAGGACCCGTGGTGAGATTTTGCAGACTGAATGGAGCTCTATGTGAAGACTCATTTATTTAAGAGTTAGTAGAACTATCAGGGCCAGTGCGAGGATTTTTGCTGCCCCCCACATACATCCTGCCCATCATGAGACATAACAATGCCCCACCCATATGCTCTGCCATATGGGCCAACACCAGTTCTGCACAAAGTGTCTTATCTGAAAAGGCAGTGTGTTTACATTAAAAAGCCTGCAGGCACAGGCTATAGACACCAGAACCACTGCATTGAGCTTTAGTGCTTCTGGTGACTATAGTGGCCCCTTAATGTGAGGTAAATTAGAGATTAGTGACACTAATAATATACTGGCTTGCCTACTTACCACCAGATGAGGACAAGAGGATGATGATGGGCTCAGGCTGCAGTCTGGCTCCACAGGTCTGGTGTAGAACACACTCTCTGGAGGCTGTTTGTAACCGTTTTCACAATTAACGAACAGGAAGCAGCTTAATTTTTTGGGGCCCCTTACACAGCTCATGGTCTGGGCCCCCAGGGCTTGAGTGTGAGTGCCTACAATGCCCACCTATGAGTTCTCTCACAGGGAGTGGAGTGTGTGTGTGTGTTGTCTTATGGAATGTAGTGTATAGGGATACTAATTTGTGTAAGGGATGCATTGTATGTTTCTGGGTGTGTATGTGTAAGGGATGCAAGGTGTGTTTCTGTGTATGTAAATTTTCACATGACAGGAGGCTTCATATTTTGCATAACTTTCTTTACTTTATGCCTCCAGCAGCACAAGTCAATTAATAAACTTTAAACCAATCAGTAACAGGCATCACATCCTTATATAAAGCCCTGACAGACACATGACCCCCTCTTTCTTTGCTGCTTACCAGCCAAGGCACAGGTCAGAGTATTTTGCTCCAAACTGTTTTACTGGTATTGCAATTTTCATCAGTTAATCATTTATTGCTTAACTTTCAGTTTGCTCCAAGCGTGGCAGACAAAGTGACATTGTGGTACAGGGGTGACCCCCCCTTACGCTGGGTGACCCCTAAGCGAATCTGATTCCTGTCCTAGTGACATACATATACTGGGGTGATCCCCCTACACTGGGTGAACCCCAAGCGAATATTATTCCGGTACTAGTGACATACATATACTGGGGGGAACCCCCACGCCCTAGGACGGGCTCATATCCACGGAGTACGATCTGTTACTGTATGCACAGACCGGGTCACACTGGATACATGTATATCGACAGAGCCAGGAAGGAGAGCTCACGGTGCTGCCAATTCTCCACAGTACTATATCCTATAAGGGTGACCCCTTGGATAATTTGGAGGCTACCATACCTCCCCATACACGGGCTACGTCCCGACATTACTGACCGCTCATCCCGGTCTTATTGAAGGTGACCCCCTCCTCAGACCACTCCCAGGAAATCTCTAAGTGGTACTGATTGAAACAATTCTGGGTGACCCCCAGTCGTACGTGGAGGCCCACTAAGTGGCAATAAGTGTACTACCGTACCTGACACCTGTTCGGTACCCCATAGACTGAAAGAGTGTCCCAACATGCCATAAGAGACATTCATACAGGGGTGACCCCCCTATGCTGGGTGAACCCCAAGCGAGTCTTACTCCGGTGCTAGTGGCATAGGTACAAAGGGGTAACCCCCTGCCAGGACGGGGTGACCCCCCGCGCCCTTTCTAGGGCTTCTACCTTCAGAGTACGCTCTGTCATTGTATGCACAGACCAGGGCGCACTAGATGCATGTATTCCGGCATCTCTATGCTTCAACTGGGGTTCCGTACGCCCTTCCCTTAACCGAGAAGGAGAACTCACAGTGCTGCCAAAACTCCACAATTCTAGACCATATAAGGATGAACCCCGTGGACTATACATATTGAGGCTTTCACGTCTCCCAGACTCGGGCTATATCCCGACATTGTAGACCGCTCATCCCGGTCTTACTGAGGGTGTCCTCATTCTCAGACCACTCCCCGGATCCTGCGAAAATGATACTGATTGATCAAAATTCTGGGTGACCCCAGTTATACGCGGAGGCCCACTGAGTGGCAATAAGTGTACTGTTGTACGATCCTGTCTCCCACGGACCGAAAGGGTGTGAACCAACATGTCGGACTTCCCTCAATATCCCTGACCGATTTTCAGGCGAGGATTAAGGCCGCCATGACAGCTCCGGGGGAAGAAGTCCTCTCCAGTATGCTGGCTAACAACCCATCCGACAGAGCGGGTGCAACGGCAGCAACACCAATGGAAGATTGAGATACCAACAACGTTAGGTCGGACACCCATCATCAGGGGACGAGGACTTCATCCCCCCCCCCTTCTCTGGAGATCATGAAAGAATGGAGGGAAGAAGAGGTAAAAGTGACAAGACCCGCCTAGCAAGAAAGGTTTTTTTTCTTTGGCACACTGGACACTCCTGTTTTGTCTCACGCACCATCTGACAACCAGGGTCATCCGAATGGGGTTAACCGGAGCACCGGGCACACTTTGCCCACTTCTGGCTTAGGAGGCCTATGGGAAAAGAAATCCGAGACAGGCTCAGGATGGAATGCCCACGCCCTCTATGTCCGAACAAGATAGTCCTCACTATGGAGCTCGTGGTGATATGTATGTCCCGATCAGGCCGGGGTCCATGTAAAGGTGTAGGAGGAGGACTCAAAACGAGTTCAGATGAAATACTGGATATGATCAGCCCAGGAAAAAAATTCTATACTTTGCGGACCTGACCCCACACAAGACTCACCTCTAGAAGCTCACGATGTGAGGGAATGGGTGCAAAGGGCAATATGTAGGTTGGGGAACGCAAGGCAGACAGGTGCACAGAACGGTGCAAAGCAGCCTGATTAAAGATGGATTTCAAACTATTGAAGTTAGGGACGAAAGAGCGAGGACCTCAGGCGGACGGACTATCGTTTGGAGAACCATTTATCTCAGCAACGGTTTGGTAGTAAGGAAGAAGATAGGAGACTATCACCCAGTCATCAACCTACGCCAACCCAATGGTTTTGGGGCGTACCGACAACTCAAGAAGGAAGGTATCCATCTCTTAGGGGATCTACAAGGTTGGACTTGGAATGACAATACATCATACCAACGTGATTACCATAGAGGTGAATGCCGCGTGTTGTGTTCAGAGACATTTTTTTACTCAAAATTTCAAATCGACTTCCGAATTTTCCGAGAACGGGACCGTTTGAGTTTTGCGGTTCCGCTGTATTTTAATATAAAGAGTCTTTCATCAAGTTTTGAAAAAAAAATAATGGATTTTTTTTTCTTCTTCTTCAAATTAAGTATACAGAGGGGAAACTATTTGAAAAACTCATCCCTACCTTTAGTATACGATAGGATCCTTCAGTCATATCCATACACCTTGTGTCAGACAGTGTTTGAATTTGACATCTAGCAGGTGTGATAGTTCCCTGTCAGAGGCGTAGTGGTTCTAGCTTTCCCACAGGGACTGTGCTTTCTCAAAAAAAAAATTATATATATTAATACCTTGATTTAATTCCTATAACGTTCTCACTTTCTTACATCCCAATATTCCTCACCTGGTATCGTGTCGGGATGTCGACGGTGTCCAGAGATGCAGTGGTAGCTTTGTTGCAGGCGTACCTAGATTCCCATGGAACCGGTTTGTTGGAGGATGTGTTGGCCGGGGTAGACGGACGTCCGGGAGCAGCTGCAGGGTCTGCCAGAATGGAAGGAGCTCCAGGTGGTGGTAGGAGGGCCCGGCGGTTGCGGCCTCCTACGTGCTTATCTCCCAGTACTGTATACGATACGACACAGTCGGCAGAGAGGAGAGGCGGCCATCAGCGGCAGATGGTCCCCAGGGTCTGCTTGGGATATGAGGAGAAATCGGAGGCCTGATGCTGGAGCCGGGGTGAGCGGACAAGATGGCGGCGTGGCGGGAAGGTCTAGAAGCCCTGTCTCTTCCGGTCCAAAAGGCTGAAAGCATGAGGACTCCGTAAGTGACAGAACACGTTGGCGCCCATGATCCTCCGGAAGGATGTCAGGGCCCCTTATACAGCTCATGGTCTGGGCCCCCAGGGCTTGACCGTGAGTGCCTACAATGCCCACCTATGAGTTCTCTCACAGGGAGTGGAGTGTATGTGTGTAGGGGATGTGTTATGTGTGTGTGTGTTTGTGTTCTTATGGAATGTAGTGTATAGGGATACTAATTTGTGTAAGAAACGCATTGTATGTTTCTGGGTGTGTATGTGTAAGGGATGCAAGGTGTGTTTCTGTGTATGTAATTGTATGCAGTGTGTGTGTGTAAGAGATTCATTTTGTGTGTGTGTGCATGTGTAAGCGATGCATGGTGTGTGTAGGGATGCATTGTGTCAGTGTGTAGTGTAAAAGAGAGGGGTTGTGGGGTAGGATAGTGACTGAGAAAGGAGCAGCTCTTTATTTTTTATAGTGTTCTCCCCTCCCCTCCTGTCATTTAGTGCTCTCCCTTGGCCCCCTGCCCCTCTCCAGGCCCCCATTGGTGGTCAAGAAGCCATTAATCATTCATGTGGGGGGTAACGACCTAGGGCGCAGTAGGTCAGTGGGTCTCATCCACGCGATTAGACATGACCTGGCCTGCTGCGTGGTATTGTTTTCAGATACCATACCAAGTGTTGTGTCTTTATTAGGCAACAGGTGGTTGGGGTTATTCTGGTCAGCAGTCAAGTACCTCCCTGGAAAGATAAGGAAGGGAGGACATGACTGATAACAGGGATAAGGGGATGGTCCCGGGGGATACAATATTGCAACCTAGGTACGTCATAAGAAGGGGAAAATGGAGAGGGTACTCACTAGTTCCCTGTCAGAGGCGTAGTGGTGCTAGCTTTCCCGCCCGCCTGCCCTAGCAATTCTAGTGTTGATGTTGTATTGGTGCTGTTGTTTCTTCTTTGTTTTGTCACAGCTCGCGGTAGTCCTGGCCAGTGAAGTAAAATTGGAAAAAAGTGCCCAAGCGGCTTGGGGAGTCGCAGCCTGCTGAGGGCTCGTGGCGGGGGCAGGCTGCTCCGGACTCGTGGTTCATTTGGATAGAGCTGTGTGTTGGTAAACCCACAACAGCTGACAGAGTTGGGACTCTGGCAAAAATTTAATAATAAAGCTGTGGCCGTTGCCCTTACCCATACCAAGTTTTGTTGTATCTTTATTGGGCAAAAGGTGGTTTGGGTTATTCTGGTCAGCAGTCATGTCACTGCACTGTGCAGGGAGTGAAGCAGAGAAGACCATAGAGACTGTCCGTTTTTTTCAGTTTTCAAACACTGTTTGACCCATGGTGCTTTTATATGGCTGTGTTTTTCTAGAAAATAACCTCCCTAGAGCCATACAAACAGTCATACAGACACATGTATGTAGGCATACTGACACACACACGATTTTAGACAGCCACACATATAGGCAGCCTTACACACTCATACAGTCACAGAAGGCCATTTAATATGATATGATATGATATGCTGCGCTATGTATCAGCAGCACACCTACAGGAAGGAGGCCATTCACCTGCATAGTTGCCAACATTTGAAAAAAATTTCCAGGTACAGGCACAGCTATCAATTACTATGTTTACATTTACCACACCCACTGCTGCAAAGCCCTACCCACTGTGCCCAACCCACATAATTAATCTTTGACCACTTATCATAGTGCAGCTTACAGGGTCTACTCAATAAAGAGAGAATTACAGGGAATTTGGATGGTAATTTTAAACTTAAGGTCAAATTAACTGAGTTGGAAAAAAATCTCCCATTCAGCTGCACTAAGTTTGAAATTATCATCTCAATTCCCTGCAATTCTCTCTTTACTGATACAGTATACAGGTATACAGTAAGCACACACGCTCACACATTCACACACAGACTGCTGAGTACATACATACAGTACACTGAATACACACACAAAAACACAAACACAGACTGCTGAGTATACAGACAGACTGCTGAGTACATATACACAGTACACTGAATACACACACAAAAGACCACACGGAGAGACTGTTGAATGCACGCAGCCTGCTGAATACGCACACACTGCTGAACACCCACAGAGAGACTGCTGAATACACACAGGCTACTTTATACACACAGGCTGCAGTTGGGGTGTGTGTGTGTGTGTGTATGTGTGATATCCCCATAGGAAGCATTGAATGAATGCAGAGGGTGATGACGTCCAGAGCTGTTTAAGGGACTAGAGGCAGTCTTAGTACTGCAATGTTTTACACTGCAGTACTAAAGGGGACAGGAACATTCCACCAAGACGATTTCAATGAGCTGAAGTGGTCTGGGTGCCTATAGTGTCCCTTTAACAAGTTACAGTCTCTAACAGACATATCTTAATAAACAAGACCCTGTGAAAACTGAAAATATCACTATAGATTACCACCGTATAGTACTGATCATCCCACTCAAAAATGGGAAGGACTGTGCCTGTTCATGATTAATGCATTCTGTCCATTAATTTAAGAGTAGTAATGACTATTAATGTCACATTCTGAGAGACAGGTGAGCGTAGGCCAGAGTAGTTCCCATTCCAAAAACTAAATGAAGTCATACGATAAAGCTTTGGGCTTACATGTTTTAAGTAACTTTTGTTGGTTCTCTCACATCTACCCTTTAAGAATATTGGGTATACCGTTATCTGCCAGAAGTGAAT